GCGTCAGGACTGTGACGGCGAGGATACTCGGGCGCCTCAGATTTTTGCGGTCTCGGCCATTGTCCGTAACCTATGCATAGATACGGAACCCTGAGCAGCTGGACAGGGTAGAAGATTGATCCCTTCAAAAACAACTGGTCTTCCGGCTGTAACTAAACAATGTGAGGGTGCATTGCTGGCATTGCAGTAGCTACCACCTTGGCCAAGCTATATCGCAGCACGAGCAGGTGGTGGCCTCAGAATGGCGCTCACTAATGCGATCGGTCCGAGAAAGACAACAGTTGTTCAAAGGGGTCAGAAATATTTTGATTGAACTAGATTGTGTCTCAACAGAGAACTGCACATCTGCTGGTGAGTAGTCCATTCTCGCAGTTGCATTGTTGCAGACAGAGACACTGCCGAGTAAGGTCACATGCTCATGCTATTCGTAACAACCAGACCTCTAAACCAGTAATACCTAAAGTCAAGTCCCATGAACGCCATAGACCGTGTGCCTCGTTTATCAACAGGCAGGAGAGCCAAAAATTCGAGTCCGACAAAAGTTGCTTTTGGAAGTGGTATCTTGTTTCAGAGGAATCCGAGGTGTAATGAGGGGGCTTCCATCTCATTACCCTATGCGGCGACGTCGGTCTTGGTGTCAACCTTCTTCGCTTCAGGCTGGGCGGCGCTGTCCTCCTCGCGTCCGCGCTTGCCGTTGCTGTTCTTATCTTCCGCGACGGCCTCGCCGTTGCCGTTCGTAGCCTGGATGGTAGGCTTGCCACTGTGAGACTGGTTAGCACTGCTGTCCATGTTGGATAGATGCGGTGATACATACGCGTTGCGGTCGTTGGTGACCTCGTTGGGATCCCTGCGGTTCTCGCGGTTGTCACGTCCACCACGGCCACCACGGCGGTCACCACCACGGCCACGGCCGCGTCCACCGCGTCCGCCCCTGCCACCCCTGAAGCCGTTCTTCTGGTCGTGGTCGCGGCGCTGCTTCCAGTCGTCGTTTCCAAAGTTGCCGCCACGGCCACCTCTGCCGCGGCCACCGCGGCCACCACGGCTATCACCCTCCTTGCCCTCGAAGAATCGGCGGGAGGTGTTGGGCTCGAGCTTGCCGGCGAGGATGAGAGCGGACTTCTCCTTCACGTAGTCAATCTTGGGCATCATCTTCAGATCGTGTTCCTTCCACTTGGGCTTGGGGTCCAGAGCGAGGAACTTCTGAGCCGCCTCCTCGTCGGGGAACTCGACAAAGACGGAGCCCTTGAAGAGCTTCTCGTTGGTGCGGCGGAGACGAACGGAGTTGATGGGTCCATACTGCTGGAAGAAGGACTCGAGGTCGAATTGGGTAGTGGGCTCCTCATCTCCGAATCCCTTGACGTAGACGCAGCGGGCGTTGAACTTGTCGTTACCAGAGGTGTAAGCCTGCTTGCGCTGGATAGTCTCCTCACCCTCCTCGCCAGCGATGTTGACCTGCGTGCTCTCCTTCAACGCAGCGACGACAGCAGAGTAGGGCTGGAAGCGGCGCATGCGCTTGAAGTTGGTGATGGTCTTAAGGGGGATAGGCTTGTTGTCGAATCCTCCGACAAGCTCCCACAAGAACTTGTCGTGGGGAAGGTTGCTGTCCGACAGGTAGAACTCAACCTATAGGCAATCACATTAGTCAATCGGTCAGTTGGGGCGCCTCAGATTGGAGCATCTTACCTGCTTGCGGATCTCAACAGGATCGTCTGTCTCCTTGAGGAGAGAGGGGTCAAACTTGACATTGTTGGCGTGGGTCTTCTGGTCGATCTGGGCGGTCGTCTTGATGATGTCGGCCTCCTTGGCCTCAGCCTCGGCGGGCTTGACCTCCTCGGCCTTCTCCTCGGCCTTAGCTGTCTCCTCGACCTGTGCAGGCTCCTCGACCGTAACGGGCGCCTCGGCGGCAACAGCCTCGATGGGCTTGGTCTCCTCGGCGGCGCTCATCGTAGGGCGAGTCGGGTTGGGAATTGGGAAGTATTGAATGGTCTGTAAAGTAAGAATGTTGTCAATGATATCTTCTTGGTCGCAGTTAGACGTTGATTGTTGCGCGACAAAGGTGAGTAACACAACACCAGCCTCGGGAAGAAGTCAAGGTCGGCAGTATTTATTATGTGGCGGGGTAGGCAACCGCAAAGAGTCAGAGGGGAAAGTGAGTAATCCGGAGAAAGCTTACATTGTAAAAATCAGTCAATGCAATTCGGCGACCGTAGTATGGGTTGAGCGTTCTTCGTGAAATGTGTCTTGCCTTTCAGAGTTTATACAGGAAACGGAGAAAGGCGATAGTTCTTGGTCAAGCGGGAATGGCAGAAAAAAAAAAAAGTCCCCCGTTTCTCCAGTGGTGAGGATTTTGCGACCAGAATTCGCATGCACGAGCGAGAGCTCCAGTTTCTGCCGCGGCGGCTTGCGCGCAATTGAGGCTCACCGCCCGCAACTCGACTCCACTTGGCGAGGTGGGGAGAATGAAAAAATCAACCACACGGGTGGCTGCCAATGCTACATCGGTACGGGAGGCTGGGTACGTACTGCGATAACCCCAAAGCCTCGAAAAGCTACCTGACTTAGGTAAGCAATATTTTGCTCTTCCATTCCAGTTTCTACACGTGACGACGTGACAGCTCTCACAGCAGGCAAGAAGGAGTACGTACCGACAACCGGGACATGCCGTTCCATCACCAAAATTTCCGTCTTTGCGTCGTCTCGTGCTCCTGAAGCTGTCGCCATCCCTCCAGCTCCAAGTTCGCGACCAGTCAGCCCCAATTAGCCCAAGATGAGAGGTAGAAAGCCAAGGTGGTACAGCTTGACGAAGCCAGTAAGTCATCACCCCATTCGTTTCCATTCAGCCCCGACGTCAATCGCATCGTGCTTTTCCCCTGAAATCGCTCTGGGCAACTTTCATCGCATGATGTTGAAACAAACGATGGATGAACTGGAGCTAACCATTACCACCTTTTCTCCTCGAACAGAAAATTCGTCAGTCATGGAACAAGTACAATCTTTTCAACCTCGCCACATTCAACTTGAAACGAAACCGAACCTCGAGAACCTTCTTCCAGCAGAAATGGACCGCCAAGTCAATGACCCGTGGCTACCACGGCGCCCACGTCAAGGAGGCGGAATGGTCACGCAATTTCTCCCGCCGCCTCTTCTCCGCCGTCGATATGCCGCCTGAGTACCTCGCCAAGCACGACGGATCAGAGCACTCGGCCGGCCGCGGTTCCGGTCTGCACGCCGAGCCGGGATCAGAGGACCTCACGCCAACCGCATACCATTTCTCTAAGCTCGAAGCAGCCAGGCAACGGAGAGAAGATGGCAGAACTTCACCAAAAAGAACTGATGCACAGACCGAGATGCTTGCCCGTCCCGTCCGGCAAATGACGCCCTACATGCAAATGGCTTTCGCCCCCCTCGAGCGGAGGCTGGACGTTGCCATCTTCCGCGCAATGTTCGCCAGCAGTACGCTGCAGGCAAAACAGTTCTGCACACACGGAGCCGTCAAGGTCAACGGCAAAGTCGTGAGTGATCCCATATTTCTCTAGCCCAGATACACAAGATTCCACCATTTGTATATACGGCAGACACCTAATCCATCCGATTCTAGATGCGCTACGGTTCCTACAAGCTCAACCCCGGCGACATGTTCCAGGTCGATGTCGACAATGTTCTCTTTGCCACCGGCCGGGCAAAGACTCCTAACCACGCACTCTGGCTCGCTGGCAAAGACTATCAATCCCTGAACGACGCCGGCGAACCCAACAAATCCGCGACTAAAGAGGGCGCTTCAGAACAGGAATCTGGTGACGCAGCACCCGAGGCTGCCGAAGCCGATGCCGCCGTCGAAGAAGCTGATGCCGCCGCAGAAAGCAGCGAGGCCGCCACCGAAGCAGCAGAAGCAGCGGCCGACGGGGAGGAGGGAAGCCAGCTCTCTGAGGAAGAAAAGTCCAAGCAGCTCCACAAGCAGCTCAAATCCCTTGTCCGCTCTGTCAAGACCTTCCTCGGGGACCAAGACGGCCTCAAGCCCAGCAAGAAGCGCCAGCTCCGGGCCTTCATGGCCGAAGCCAAGCGCGCCCTCTCCACCTCGGGTCGCGTGACAGACGACGCCGTCGCCACGCTCGACCACGAGGGCGTAATGAACAACCTCACCGCCCTGCTCAAGGACTTCAAGCTCGAGGGCAACAAGGTCGAGGCCGTCGCCTCCCCCGAAGCAGAGGGCCAGGAACAAGCCGCCGACCACTCCAAGCCGACGAGCGCCAAAGAAAAGGCAGAGACCGAGGCCGTCACGGACCTCATCTCCTCAAAGGACGTCCGCAACGCGCTCAGCGGCCTCAGCAAGGCCGAGCAGAGCGCCTTTGCCGAGCTCCTGCGCCAGAACGCCGAGAACCCCATCGACGAGTCCAAGCCCTACTGGACCCCCTGGCAGCCGCGCCGCTACATGTCGGCCTTTGCCTTCATCCCGCGCTACCTCGAGGTGAACCAGAACATCTGCGCCGCCGTCTACCTCCGTCACCCCGTCGCAAGGCGCGGTCTGGCCGAGGTGCCCACTCCCTTCACCTACGAGACGAACCAATTGGCCTTCAACTGGTACCTGAGGAGGGGCTGAGCATTGCATGTAAAGATTTAGGCGTTGTGCGTGGTGGTAGTCGTGGTGCAGTAGAGGAGATGGCCGTTGGAAAGATCAGACGGCAGTGTACAACAGGAAATGGATCCCCAAAAACTTGTAGGACTGCATGTAAAAAGGTGTAGACGTAGTCGTCTATGTACATCATCAATTGAAGAAAAATCAAGCATATTATTATAAAACTCCATTGTGCACTGATTTCAGGATTTGATGGAGTAGGGGGCTTATTGCCTCGATGCCCACCCTTGACATATTATACCATACATCTCTTTTGGGGCGCCAGTCACACTAAAAGGACCATAATCTCTAAGTCGACGCCTAGTAATCGAGCTCAGAACTATCACCGAGAAAAAACACATCACAGAAGTAGGCACTTTGGACAAGGTCTAGGGAATCATCATTTCGAAGCACTGTAACTAAGCTGACAAAGAGAAGCAATGACTCCTCGTTCCTTTCGCGTCTTTCCCTCCTTAATCTGCATCAAGCCCCCTGCGTGACTGCTTCGTAAAGACTTTTGATGATGCTGGGATTCCGTTAAGTGATTAGATGAGGGTGTGTGATTAAAAGAGGTCCAGAAAAAGGGGGTGATAAGAAAGAACATGAAGAGAATCGACAAAGAGGCGCGGTGTGCTGGTATTGTATGGGCATCATTGGTACTTAGACATGGGTCGTGGAAAGAAGAATGCGAGCAACGTGTGGCGTCAAGAGACCAAAGAAGGAGGCATCTTAACGGAGCGAGAAGCCCTTCCGCTTGCCTTCCTTTTCGATGGGCCGGCCGCTCTCGACTCGTTGCTTCTTCTCCTCGAGCTCCATACGCTGGCGCTCCAGTTGCTCCTTCATCTCTCTGTGGCGGGAGTAGAGCTCCTCTTCGCTCTGCTTCAGCTTGCTCTCCTTCTCGGCAACCTTTTGCTGGAAGACCATCTTCATCTCGGCCTCCATCTTGGCGAGCTTCTGCTCGTGCAGGGCGCGCTCCTCCTCCTGCTTGACAGCGGGGTTGACCTCCTTGAAAACGCTGGGGTCTTGCGACACGCCCATGCCAATGAGCTTGTCGGTACGGTAGTTCTCGTACAGGCTGTTGTTGGTGTGCTCCTTGAGCTCCTCCATGTGCGTCCGAATGAGCATCTGGCGGAGCTTGACAAAGTCGCAGTGCTCCTCGTTGTCGACCTCGATGACACCCCAGGGGTAGCTACGTCCGCGGACCTTGCGGCCGTCGGCGTTGGTGATCTCGTTAGTCGCACCAACGACGGCGAAGGGAACCTTTGACATGATCTCGTTGTTCTCGGCGATGGTCTCCTCATCGTCAAGCTCGTAGCGTGGGCCCTCGAAGATTTGGATACCGTGGTGCTTGATGTCGGAGAGGATCTGGAAGGATTTAGTGGCTGGCACGAGTTACTGGACAATAGTCTACATACTCTGGACTTGAAGTTGGCAATCTCCTCGTCGGTAAGGGTATCGGCCTTGGCGATGACGGGGATCAAGTTGACCTTGGTGTGAAGGCGGCGCATGACCTCGATGTCAAGGGGCTTGAGGGAGTGACCAGTGGGCTGGATGAAGAACACGCAGGCGTGGATACGGTTGTCGACGATGTTCATGCGGTTGACCTTGTTCTCCGCGTCGAGGTAGGCGTCGTAACGCTGCTCAATGTTGTCGACAATCGGGCGCCAGGACTCATCGTTGTTGACGAAGTCTCCGAATCCAGGGGTGTCGACCACGGTCAAGCGAAGGCGGACGCCGGCCTCCTCGATGTCGGCGCTGATGGACTGGATGGTAACCGTCTTCGGGATGATGTCCAAGCTAGGGCCCTTGCGCTCCTTGGGAGGGTAGAGAGAAGTGTTGAAGAGAGTGTTGACCAGGGTCGACTTTCCGAGTCCAGATTCACCTAGATTGAATACTGTTAACGGATACTCCACGTCATGGAAGCAAACGGTAGAATAACATACCAACAACCATCACGTTGAAGTTGAAGCCCTTGCGGACACTCTTGCGGTGCCATTGGTTAGGCAGGTTGGCAAAGCCGACATAGCCAGTAAGCTTGCGGCGAACAATGTTCCTAAGATCACTGGAAGGAGCCGAAGGGGCACCGCCAGCTTGGTAGGAGTCAGATGAGGGCTCTTCGACGGGGGGCGAAGTGGGCGCCGAGGGCGGCGGGGAGGTAGCAGGAGAACCTTCGTCAGCTGCGTTCAGGTCAGTGATGATTCTTTTCCAGAGATTGAAATTTGGCAAATCGGCAAGGCAGTGGCGAGAACAAGATGATCTGGGCTGTCCAATTTCGAAATGCGAAGGGGTATGCCGTCTGTCGTTTATTGCCCGACTGTTGTCTTCCACCGCCACGTCCACGTCTCCGGGCTATGCTATCGAGTGTTGGGAGCCAGGGAATAGCATCCAAGATATATTGAATAGAGCGTCGAGCGAGAGTGAATGACAGGTTCTCTGGGAATGGTCGTGTACGGTTTCCCACGTAGCACATGATCGTTACGGTCTGATTCTCGTATTGCCTTGCCGGTCCTGATTTGTAGATCATGAGATTGCGAGCTGCTTACCCATTGCGAATATCAGGGGAGTTGTCTTGGAGATGTTTGTCTCAAGAAAAATATCTGGATCTAGAGAACAGAAAGGATGTGTTAGCTTGGTTGTGATGTGAGGCAGAACGTTGCTGAAAAGCGGGAAAAGGCTGGCCCAGGAGATGGGACGACGCAAGTCGGTGATGGGGTTGTGTTATTGCGCAATGGCAAGATGATGCCAGCTGGCTGAGTGAAGGAGGGAAAGGAAGTAGATTGTGTGGCCGGTTTGTTTCCTCGGCCGAATCTTGGACGATAGGAGAAGTATGGGAAGAGAGACGAGGGAAGATTCACATACCTGGACGTCTACAAAGCAGTCGCGTGTCAAGGAGCGTCGCAGATGGGTAACGAACGATAGAAAAGGAGGAAAGTGGTTGTGAGAGTCTGGCGACAGACAATTGGACCTCTCGGTACCGAAAGAGGAGATGGCGAAATGCTCGAGGGCAAAGTTGATGATGGGGCCGAAGAGAAGAATCACAACCTCAAGGGAGAGAAAGGTGTGGTGGTTACGAAGTAAGGTAAGGTAGAGAAGGAGAGGTGTAGGGTGAGGTAGGTAGTAGGTTCCTCGATGAACGTACGTTTTGGGGGTGGGAAGGGGAAATTTAGGGTGCAACGGGGACAAGAAAGATTTGGCTGTGTGACCCCGTTTCCTGACGACGGTCGGTGCTCCCTTTACGGTTCACCTCAGGTCACAAAACGTACCGTACCACTCTTTTCAAGCAGCGCGTTACATCCTGCTGGCCTGCTCTCTCCCTACGCTCAGTACCTACTTACCAAGGGACACTACCTACGTAAACGAGTACACGTACGGCTACAGAGGACAGCCACTGGGAAGGGACGGAACCTGGGACTGATGGTGCTGCTTGCCCGCCGCTACGAGGTGCAGATACAGGGGACCAGCATGCCTGATGGGGGATGGGAGATGGTGTTGGGCCTACTGGGCCACGGTGCATGATGGACGGGGAAGAAGCACGTTGCTGTCCCCTTCCTCTCCAAGCAAAAGGGGGTTGAAGTGGACTAATCCCGGTTGGGCTAGATTGGTTTGGGTGGATCCCGAGCAAGGGTGTTGGATGGAGCAGGAGAATTAGAGACCGGGGTTGCCCTTAACGGCGCGACATGATTGGCCATGGGGGCGGTGGTCGTAATGAAGCATCAGAAAAAAAAAACCGCCAAAAGGAGCATCTGGAGATTGGGGAAAGGAACGACAGACATTGAAATTCAACACAGACAAGGTAAGATTTGCACTACTTATTTTTGTTCTTGATGGCTGTCAATGTCTTTATTCTTCCATTTTCTTCCTCACTATTCAAAACTCTGTTGTCTTTGTCGGTCTCGTCCCCTCACGTATTATCGTCCATCTCAAGAGCCACGACACAGAGAGGACCCCTTATTCCTGCCCGACGCTTGGGCGATTTACGATGATTTTCCAACTGGCATCTTCTCCACTCAGAAACAAAGTAGAGTGCCAACTGTTTGCCGGCCAGGCCACGGGGACAGCACGGAAGCAGAAACAACCTGGGGCTGCGTTTGAGCACCGCTACCTCGCGTCCAACACACAGTATTTAATGTGAACATTTGAAGGGGTCATTTATCCACCCATGCTCAAAGGCCAAGGAAAGCCCACGTGAGATGATTGCATCACGACCTTGACAGGTGTCCCGAGAGAATGAAACAAGTTGAGTTTTTTGCCGTCCTGGGCTGTTGGCCTTGTCTGGATTCCCGCGTGCTTGTGCGATAAGGTACTGTCAATAATGCACGCAAGCTGCAAAGTGCTTGCGTACTCGGCTTTCTTTCTCCAAAAAAGTCAAAACTTGGGACGAGGATGAGACTGGCAGGTATTGCTTAACCATGCTGTACTTTAGCAGATCCTATCCCTACGCAGCGATTATGTGTGCCCCGGCCTGCAGAACGATATTACTGTTGCGGTACGGAGTACAGATTATAGCAGCAAGCAGCAGTCTCAAGCTCTCGTTAGGTGCTCGTGACCACTGTGATTGCGTTGAGGGCCGGGAAAGCAGGAATCCGACCTCCAATTTCCACGTCTCATCCATGATCCATGGGATGAAGAGAGGTACGCCCGCGACACAAAAGAGCCTGTGCCCGGACGGCGGAACCAGAGACAGCGCCATAGCCAGTATCAGTCAGTAATAATAACGGAGCCACCAGAAACCAGCACGGCCTGGCAAAAAGGCATGGACCACCGTGGATCCCGCCGTGTGAGGATAGACTGAGATGGAATGGGGCCAAATGGGAAATGGGAGGAAGCCATCCACCCATTCTTGTCTATGGCATCCTGGTCACAATTCAGTGAACAACTTGCGCCTCAGGCACACACGGCACACCAAATTTGGGTGACCCCCAATCTCATTCTCAGATACTCCGTACTTGGGTACCTGAGGTAAGACCCACTCGGCCCCCAAGGAACGGGAAAAAAGACGTTCCGACACACGGGCCGTCTTCTGACACTGACTTCACAGGCTTCACCCCAGCTTCTCGCTCGCCTTCTGCTATGCCCTGCTGTCGCTGCAGGCTTCACACCCCCTTCATCCTCTTGGCCACTTTTACCTGCAGCGAGACCCCGTGGACCTGCAGGAGTAGTCCCTGAACCCGGGCCACACCTGATGGCCCTCTCTCTCAGACTCAGGCGCAGACGTTTCCCCCCCGGGAGTCGGGACTTGCCAATCACTTGCCCCGAAGAAACCTAGAGCAACACACCCCGTCGTCTGCCGAAAGGTGCCCCGGCCGTCATACTACATTAGCTGCGTTCTCTTCAGCCACTTCGAGGCATCCACATCACCGCGGCCTCTTCATGAGTCTGTCCATCCAGAGGGTGTCATTCGTCCACAGTTGCAGGTACGAGGTCGTGCTGGAGAGGGTTAAAGAGTGCTTCGTGGCCAAATAGCTGTCGGCGGCCAATCGTTCCTGTGGCATGCCGAAAAAGAAGCGGACCGACCACCTACCACGGAGACTATGCAAGCTGCGTCACCACCTTATCAGCTATGGTCCAACACGTCGAGGGACTGCCCGACTAGTGAAGCGACAAGTTTGCAGTGTGGCATGTTGAAATTTTTGCTATTCAGCCACCCAACCAACCAAGATGAGGCACGGGATGCAGGTTTGGCAGCCAGCCTTGCCGTGTCTCGGGTCTGACTTGTCTTGCCCCAAAACTCCCTGCGTCGGACAAATCGCTGATCTGCCTCGCGCAGATCCTGCAGCAAAGAGCCAGACGGCGGCAGAGAGAGGCAAACGGGAGAAGATGATTATAAGTGACAGAAACCGCCCGCAAACACCATTGACGCCTGCCACTTCAATTTGCCGGAGCAAGCCACGCTTCCCAATATCTCCTACGCTGTTAACAGCGGACCAGGAGGGTGTTCCGCCTCCTTATTGTCGAGTCGGACAATCCACGTCTTGCACTTGTGGTGCATTCTCCTCGCCGCTCTAAACTTGGCGGCGCTCGCATGGTAATTTCGATGTCATGAAGTGACGCCTCGGCCTTGCGTTCGCAACCCTTACAGCCCTAATTCGAGCTAACAGAATCGTCGAGGCCCATGGCCGCAACTTATAAACGCATCAGCGGCATAGTGCGACTTTCTATCTAAGTCGCAAGAAAGCTCTGCCTCGATTCTAGAGGTCTTAACCCGTGGGATGCCGCATCTCGGCCTCCGAGAACAGCGATCTCTTGTCGGTCCAGAACAAAAGTGCAGTCTTTGACCAGGGCTTTTCTCTGACGTCAAATTTGCGCTTCCAAAGCCTGAGATATATCAGTTTACAGCTGCGAGAAACTCGAGGAGACATGGATGTAAGATTTGACGTCCTGTCCCCGTTCATGGAACTCCGGCCCCGAAGTGAGATAGCCGGCTCTCAAACACCCGCATTTGTGGGGCTCTACCCCGATGCCTTTGATGTGTGCTCCGACTCGGTCTAGGTTGAATACTCCCGCCACCAAGATTTGGGCATCTCTTACCGAACGGCTAGGTGAATTTGGTTCTTGGCCATCACACGGATATCACCTGTGATTCCTCAACACAATAGCGTGTGATAGCTTTTACTCTAGTGAGAGCATAAGTCTTCGAACCAAGAGATGTGTAACTCCGTCGGCAAGGGTTTGAGACATGCCTTGGTCTGGTACAGATACTGGAACATTTGGTGTCGAGGCTAGTCGAGTCTCAAGTGACCATTCAGATTGTCTTTGCACCTCCTCCTCGATGTGAAGGGCACACAAGCTAGACACATTGTGTATCAAGAGACCTACGGCCCGCTCTGACTGGTGAGCATTAGACAGGGAGATGGTTCGGAATATATATTCACGTCGAGATCTCTCTCAGGAGTATGTACTCCTTTGCAATACCCTCTCGGCATTGTCGGGTTCGGACACACTCACTCACCCAGCGGAGGTCATAGTCAGGGAATCTGCATCCTGATTCCCGATTCTTCCTACCTATCGTAGAGCTTCCAGTCAGAGTTACGGTGAACATTTTTTATTCTCTTCATCCGATGCCGCTATTCCGACAGTCAATGTTCCGACGTGTTACGCCGGCTATCTCCTAGCAGTTTACAACGTTCAGAGAACCGCTTGATACCTTTGGTCTTCGAGGAGATTGGGCCCTTGCTTGACATCTAGCCTAATAGTGCAGATGGTAGACTGAGCCATTCAAGTTGCGGTCAAAAATGCATACGACAGTCATTGGCTTGCGTAAATCCCGGGTTCGTAAATAGATCTAATGTCTAGGGCAAAGGCAAGGCGAGGTGCAGAAGTTGAGCGATCCCCTTGGCCATAGTGATCCAGGTCAGCATGAAGATGAGATACTGCCACGAAGAGTCGGTAGTGGCTCATGGGCGCCGCGACTGATCGATTGCGATCTTTTAGCAAAGACTGGTCCCATCCAGGTTTCATGAAGACAGGCGACCGGTTTCAAAATAGCCTGTATTTCCGTGAGGTTCTTGTTGTTGAGTCTTGTGGTGCAGACACGGCTTGGGATTACATAGATTCCCATCAGTCAGTCTCCATGTTTGTAGCAGTCGCATGCGCGGTGGGAATTGTCTATTGATAAAGTTCTCAAAGTAACATGCATGACAGCAATGATCCCATTTCCAGTGGAAATTCATGATGCTGATTGACTACGGCGCAGGCTTCATCTCTTCGAACGTTGGCCCATTCATCTGCAGAGTCGAAGCTATGTCACAAGATTGCAAACCACCATGGATCGTTCTAGGAGCCAGCTCTCGGACCGCACTGTCCCGACTCAAGGGTAAGGTTTGGCGTCTTTCGATGGGCAAGATTCACCTTGGCATATGGCTTGGATGAACTCCTTCAGTAGAGTTGCGATATTCTCCCAAACTTGTGACTGACGACAACAGCCCAGTTCAGACTTCAATCTCTAAGAAAAGCAGACTCTCAAACGAGTAATGGCATCATTTGAGCCGGCTTATAAGAAAATTGTCCCAAACTGCTAGAAGATTCTCCTTTGGACCTCCAACCGATCATCAGCAGTGTCATGGAGTCGTCTGAAGAGGCTCCGAGGTTCTAGACTCACCCGAACGATGAGCCGTGACATTACAGACATGTCATCGTCACATGGGAAGCGGCAGAGGCCGGGTGGGCCAAGGGAAAACCTGGCGCCACAGAGTGGCCAGAGCGGCGGCCGGGTCCAGTGGTCCGCCAGTTCAATTGGCGAATGAACCCGCCCGGAGCTTTCTCAACGGACGGTGGAGATTTGTGGGCATAGAGCGGTACTTTCTTCAGCTATACATCTACGCCAAGATAAAAGTATCGGTCTAACTCACCTAATGGAGGCCCCCTTGCAGTTCCTTGCTTTCGATCCACCAATCCCAATCATGCCTCAATGATGTCAGGAGCAGACCAGGGTCGGGAAAGAGCGAGAGAGAGAAAGTTGTTGAGCTAACCTCGCTGTCATTGCCTCGCGCTTTGCGCTTAATTCAGCTTCGGTGCTCTTTCCCCGGAGTAGCCGCGGCCATCTTGGTCTCTAATTTTTCTCCCTCTCATCTGTAGCACTGGACAGTTTTAGTTGTTGGATCGAAAATGAAGACAACGAATTTGCCGAAACCGTAACTGTCGAGATTCCTGAGCAAGCTAGGACGATAGCAATCACCACTACCACCACCAATATCCCACTCTACGCCACGACACCACCCCCAATTCACAACTGATCAACGCAAGGTAAACAACACCACCGTTCATTTCTGGCTCAGCCAGCCAGTCATGTCCCACGACCTCAGCCTCTCAATATCGCCAAGATGAGATTATTCGCGCCGTATTCCCGCGACGCCATGCGCCGGGCTGCGAGATCCTTTCACCACAGCGTGACTGTCGGCCGCATTAGAACTCACGGCCTCCTGGTTCACCGGAGGCCTACGCTGTCCCGCCAGTCGCGGCACGGCTTCTTCACGGCGAGGGAGAAGGTCCCGCCCAAGAAGACGTCGATCCCGGTCGCCATCTTTGCCGTCGGCCTGGTGGTTTGGGCGCTCTATCCGTCTGATGAGTTTGAGCGGTTATCCCTGGCTGAGAATGAGAGGAGGAAGGGAGTCCGCAGCAATGCGACAAGCACAAAGTCTGACCAGACTGCGTGGTACAACTTTGCCCTCAAGTTTGAGACCTTGTCCGACTCTGCCGACGTCGAATGGACTGCAGACAAGATTGTTGGATTCATCCTACCAGAATGGTCCAGGTTGGTCCCCGGATACATCCGGAAGCTCCAGAGAGAGGTGAGGTTCAGCTCAATATAGCCAATTATCACCATCGACTAACACCACCAGCTGTCAATGGCCCCCGGATCTCTAGCAGATGAGATTTGGCGAGAAGCCCATGACCCCTTTATTAACCCCGAAGTACAGTACTCCGCCAAGGTCAGGGTTTCCAATGATCTATGTGATGAGGAAAAGGAATTCCTGGCAAGGCGGAAACGAGTCACTACCATGGCATTAGCCAAGTATCTCGACATCGACGAGAGGGATGTTCATCCGGACGATGTCCCTACCATTGCCATGTGCGGCTCCGGAGGTGGCCTGAGGGCCCTTGTCGCCGGCACCGGTTCCATGCTCGCCGCAGACGAAGATGGGCTGTTCGACTGTGTCACGTACACTTCTGGTGTAAGCGGTTCATGTTGGCTACAGGCCCTCTACCACTCTTCCATCTCAGAGGGCAGTCTTCCCAAGGTTCTACAGCACCTAAAGGCCCGCGCCGGCATCCACATCGCCTATCCGCCCGTGGCATTCCAGACCCTTCTCTCTGCCCCGACGAGCAAGTATCTCCTTAGCGGTCTTGTCGAGAAGCTCAAGGGTGACCCCCGCGCGGATTTTGGGCTGGTCGACGTCTACGGCCTTCTGTTGGCGACGAGATTTTTGGTTCCCAAAGGCGAGCTGGAAGTGAGCGATCGCGATTTCAAGCTGTCCAATCAACGAGAGTACATCAAATATGGCCAGAACCCGCTACCCATTTACACAGCCGTCCGACACGAGATCCCCGATGTTGACATTGACGGAAGCGGGACAGTGCCGTCCACCTCGGACGCGGCGAAAGAGGTCGCCAAGAAGGAAGCCTGGTTCCAGTGGTTTGAGATCACGCCATACGAGTTCTTCTGTGAGGAGTTCTCCGCCGGCATCCCGACCTGGGCCATGGGCCGACGCTTCAAGAACGGCGTCGACGTGCCTCCCGAGGAAGGATTCCATCTCCCAGAGACCCGCATGCCGTTCCTCCTCGGCGTCTTTGGGAGCGCTTTCTGCGCGACCCTGAGCCACTATTACAACGAAATCAAACCCCTTGTGCAGAGCCTCGCCGGGTTCGGCGCCCTGGACGGCATGATCTCAGGCTACAACGAGGACCTCAGCAAGGTTCACCCAATCGACCCCGGAACCGTCGCAAACTTTGCCTACGGTATGGAAGACAAGCTGCCCAAGACGGCCCCGAAAAGCACCTACAACACCGAATACATTCAGCTCATGGACGCCGGCATGTCCAACAACCTTCCTATCTACCCGCTCCTCCGCCCCGGCCGCGACGTCGACGTCGTCGTCGCCTTTGACGCCTCCGCAGACATCAAGACGGACAACTGGCTCGCCGTCGCCGACGGCTACGCCCGCCAGCGCGGCATTAAGGGCTGGCCCGTCGGCGTCGGTTGGCCCAAGGCGAGCGAGTCTCCGAAAGAGGTGCGCGAGGAGCTCTCGGAAGCTCAGGCCGCGTCCGCACAGGAGGCGAACCAGAAGCTCCGCGAGGCCAAGGCGCACCAGCGCGAGCACCAGGCCGAGGAGGGCCACCGAAAGCCGGACGAGGACACGAAGAGCGGGCAGGCGGCCAAGTTCACGCCCGGCGACGAGGAGTCGGGCGAGCTGGGGTACTGTACCGTCTGGGTCGGCACGACGCAGGAGCGGTCGTCGTCCGATACCCCGCCGCCGTCCAAGGCGATTACCGAGTCCAACTCGTGGCAGCTCATGGAGCCCGACGCGGGCATCGCCATCATCTACCTGCCGTACCTCGCCAACCCCAAGGCGCCCGGCATCAACCCCGGCACGACGGATTACCTGAGCACGTGGAACTTTGTCTACACCCCTGACCAGATTGAAAAGGTGGCTGCGCTGGCGAGGGCTAACTATGCCGAGGGACGGGAGCAGATTCGTGGGACGGTACGGGCCGTCTACGAGCGCAAGAAGAAGCTTAGACTGGAGAGGGAGGCGGGGATCAAGAAGGATCGGTACCGGAGCTTGGTCAGGCGGGGGATGGCGCACAAGCTGGGCGAGGGCGATCAGTTTAGTTGAAGAGGCGGATTATAGAGTTGCTGGAATGAAGATACCCGAGAAGGTGGAGGAGGATTCTCTGAAGGATGGCGTAGGTTTATCATTGGAAGTAGATCCATTGTAATGAAAAGTGTGTTTGTTACTTTGAAGTATTTTGCAACCGATTGAAAGTGTCAAATAGGGGTTGATAAAGAGAGGTCAAGTTCAGTAAATGGCCCCGTTTCGAGGAGTGTGTCATTGTTTTTACAAATCTATTCATCTTACAGAGACATGCTTGACCTTCTACATGTCCTTGCTTCAAAATGTACACTGCCTAACAAAAAGGCATCTTGATAAAGTCCGGGATCACCTGTTTCCCGGCCCTTTGACAACGTTCTCCGTCACTTCTCCTCCCTTATCGCCCCTCTCTCCTCTCTTTCTCCGATGGATGAATTACAGTCGATGCATTTTGCTTTTCGTTTTTTTTTTCTTTTGCTTCTTCCCCATTTTGCCCCCAACATATCTTCTTTAGATAATCTCTCCCATGTCAATGTGCGCAGGCTGCCACGGCTTCGCGCCCTCGACAAGCATATCACTCGGCACCCGCACCTTGGCGCCGGGGCTGTAGAGGTACCACGCCTTGAGAACGTTCATCGACGCCTGCAGACGCGCAAAGTCCAAGCTGGCGCCCGTGCCCTCGCCGAGCTTGTCGCGCCCGCTGTAGATGCCGACGACGTAGACGGGCGTCCTGCTCAGGCGGCCCGTCTCGCTCTCGAGCCGCGCGACGGGGGCCTCGAACCCTTCGCGGGCGCAGAGCATCGCCAGCTCGCGCGTGGGCAGCCTGAAGCTGAAGAGCTTCTCGAGCTCGACGCGGCGGCTGAGGATGTGGGCGTCGATGAAGGCGCGCACGGCGTCGCGGCCGGCGTGGGCGTACACGGCGCCCGTGACGGCGCGGACGTGGGCGGCGTAGGCGTCGTTGCGGAGCTTCTCGCGCTGCTCCTTCAGCAGGGCGGGATCATTGGGTTCGGGCTGGGGCTCGAGCGGGTTCCGTCTGGGCTTGTGCAGGACGTCGCCGAACTCGTCGTCGAGGATGACTCGGGACGAGACGGAACGGCGCCACTTGAACTTGTCGAGCTCCAGGTGCTCCTTGCGGACGTAGCCCCAGCGGCCGTGGACGAGGCCGTGGGACTCGGGGTCCTGGGAGAATTGCAGCAGGCCCGGGTCGACTTCGCCTCCCGGGGCGGCGGCGCTCTCGACGCCCCACTGGCTGGCTACGCGGTAGAGCGAGTCGGGACCGGCGTAGGCGCGCATGGCTTCGTAGAGGATGGCCATGGGGAGGCGGGGATAGTGGGTGATGAGCCACTCTGAGACGTGGTAGCTGATGAGGGAGCCGCCGACGACGGCGAGGTTGGCATTGTTGAAGTTGGGGTTTGAGTCGGCAGAGGGGTCGACGAGGGTGCGCGCGAGGGACTGGAGGGGCAGTTTCTCGGGGAGGGAGAGGCGGGCGTGGAGAGCGGCGAGCTTGGCCGACTGGAGGGCCTTTTCGGGGGCGGGTGACGGGAGGTTTCTCGACTTCGACTTGAGGGGTTGGGCGGTGGTGGTGGTGATGTTGGCTGAGGCGTCGGATGATGCTTCTTCTGCTACTGCTGCCAAGGACGGGGAGGAGGTCGATAGTGTCCGCGCCGGGTTGATGTTGTGAAGCTGTGTTCTAAAGGAGATGGGCGTCAGGCACGGCGAGGCGTGTGTCCTGGCTTGGGCGTTGAGCAGTTGCCCGGTGCATCTTGATATCCTTAACCTCTTCATCTGGGACGCCATTCGGTGGTCGAGGTTGGGTTGTTGCTGAGCTGTTCGAAAGCCCAGTAACAACGTAACGAATAGAAAAAAGGCAACGAAAGAATAGGTGTTGTACAACGCGGTCGAGAGCAATTGGGTGGATGCGGTATTCGCTGGGGGTTGAATCGCAAAGGGGGCAAGGGAAAAAAGTTCCACGTCCCGAATTCTCTCGAACAGCGCCGGTCTCCCGTCACGAAAAAGTTTCTGGAGCCGACCGATTGGAAGTCGTGTGAGCTCCAGCATGCTAGGGGGTACCGTGCACGAGCCATGCGAGAAAGTCAGTAGAAGCAGGCGCGGAATATCCGCTCCTCCGCAGCTCCGGGGTGGCTTTGGGTCCCACTTTTCGGGAGGAATGGATGGCAGCACTTCACTATTCGCGACGTCCAAGGGTAAAAGCTCCAATATCGAGTCGAGGCGGGAAAGCGATTGCCATCACCACACTATCCAACCCCTCATACTGAAAATACAGTCAAAATGGTACGTCAATTCTCATTCAGTGATTGCTGGTCAATTGCTAACTCACGAACAGGGAGGCGGTCCTAAGGTTCCGTAAGTTCTGACCCAGCGCACATCCCCATCGAATGCGAACCACCCCGATCCTTCGAAAGCAGCTCCTCTAATACCCACGATAGCTACCCCAAGCACGTCTGGTCGCCGGCCGGTGGTTGGTACGCCCAGCCCGCGAACTGGAAGCGTAACACCGCCGTCATCGGTGCCGTTATGGCCGGTGTTGTTGCCGTTATCTGGAAGATCAGCGCTGAGAAGGAGGTGCGCTACGTGATGCCTCAGGAGGGCCGGTTCTTCCCCAGCAGATAGTACGTTTCCATCTCGCTCTGCGATTTTGAGGTCATTACGCAAGAAAGAGAGAGAGAGAGTATCGGACTGACACTACAAAACACAGCTGGTCGAAGCAATTGATCGAGTACGACAGAGAACAGGCCGCGAGGAAGGCTAAGGATACGACGCAGGCGGAGGCGATTCAGAACTCATAAACGACGACTCGGACGGTCGGAAAACTTTTGTACAATGTAAATACGGTACCCCAGGAATTGAGCGCCGCGCGGTAGCGGCAGTTGCGAACATTGGAAGACCCTGCGATTTATTGCTCCGCCCTCAGTGATACATGGATTGTGTTTTCCCGTGAGTTGTTGAAAGACCGGTTGATACGGCGGCGTCCAAATTCTTGCCATACAATAAGCTCGATTTGTATGAGCCCGCGACCTTGACCAGAAGGAGATCGACGAACCCCTCCACTCAATGGTTGAGAAGCAGATCTCGAAAATGCAGAATCGCCTGTGCTCACCTCGACGTTCCCGGTCATCAACTATGAGATACTCACCTAGAAACGCGAGCAAGACCCAAAGGGCCGAGCCGTGAGCAGTGACAGCATAACTGAGCCTTCGGCCAATCACGATGGTCGTAAAGGTAATTCAAGAGTGGGTCTCAACTCCAGATCACGACCATCCCTGGGTATCAGCCCGAAGAGGACCACTCTAGACCACGAGGCAAGCGTCTCCAAGGCTGTGAAAGCACCTGTATCCGCGTCTGTACTTCACACACTTCGTCAAAGTCGCTTTTACCAGCACTTCCAATGAAGCTGATGATCTCTGTGTCGGGGAAGCCCACCCCGGATTGCCCCTGGATCAAGTATGTCGTGTCCAAAAAAATAGACAGGAAGTTGGAGGAAGAACATCGTGACATTCGTCGGATGTCATGATATAGCTACCGAAACCACCATAGGCCACCGGGGACCAATGCTGAATACCAGCATTATTGGACATACTGGCGTTGAAAGGCGACGGCCACTTATTCGGCAAGGAGTTTCTGGACATGCATTACGTAGTACTAAGAGCTCGATCCGAAAAACGAACGATGGGCCGCTCCTATGCTATGTCGAGGTAGTTATTTATCTTGCAATCCCTTGCATGGTTCATTCGGGCATATGCAAGCGCGGGAACAGGGCAACTCCAAAACATCACAGAGAGACGAAGAGCAAAGCCATGTCAAAGGATCGTCTCATTCATCATTTCATCATTCAGGGGAGATCAGCGGTACCAGGAACAGCTCTGCTTCTCCTCCAAGAAGCAGCAACATAACGAAAGGCATCGGTCCTCCTCAATCTCTCCCCCTTCACCCCAGTGCGTTCGGTCGGCCGAGCTTAAACTTCCATAGAAGAACTCCATACAACGACCACTCCTGGGCCCCTTGGGGCTCCCATTGATCTGGGCCTGCGGGCTTTCGTTGTTCAGCAGCAAAGCTGATCCGTCGAATGAATATGTCAGTATATTGGACTTACTCAACTCCAGCTGAGCCAGGGTACACGAACTGCGTGGAGATCGAATAGTAAGAACAAGAAGAAGAATAAAAGGCAACTTACGCGGAATACTCCCTCCACTGGGCAACCGATGAAGCAGGGCGTCTCGTTGCAGCAGTTGCCCTCTGACGAGTCCTTGAGGAACGCTTGTACCAGCTTGTCGGGCACGTAGAGCGCGGTGATGCCTGATGCCATGACGGGGAGGATCAAGACTGAAAACTTCATGTTGTTTTTGGTTGTTTGGAAAAGAGTTCAATGCCGGGTGAGGCTAATGGAAGGGATATCTTGATGAGATTTGCTGCTGGATGATGATCTGAGATGATCCGTCGAGGTCAAACACTCAGAAGATTCAACCCTTTTATATTTTCTCATTTATTGTGTACCTCTCTCCCACCTTGAAAATCGTCCTAACTCTCCCCGCTCTGAAAAGATATCTCCAGACGATGAGATGGTAACATCCTCGGACAGAAGCATCCAACCCCCTCCACGTACGACCTGCTGTGTCGGCGATCCACGGGTCGACAAGACGTGAGTGGTCCCCGTTTGTTTACAGCCAAAGAGCCGCGGCCGGGTTCCCGGTGGTGCTACAGTAGTACATTTTTCATACAATAAGTAAGTCAGTGTCAAGATTCATAGTGAAAAATTGGTCTTTAGCCGCGTCTAAGTTGTAACGTCGGCGACACATGTGAAAGAGGCGGGTGAACCCCGCTCTATCAAGATGTACGTTGCCGTGAATCTACGCTGTCGTGAATCTACAGCCCTCGTAACGGCATCACTGTAACTCGCCATACCATTTCCAAGTAAGAAGCATCAAAACGTAACCGATTAAATCAGTCCAATTTACGCTATTGGTTTGGCAAGTCGTGACTTCAAGCGAGCATTCAGGCTCGCTGCAGCAACTTGGACATCTACAACAGCCTGTTGCGCGACTTAGGGCTCCCGTTGCTACGATGGCCGCCCGCGCGAATCAAAGGGACTACTGATGAGTCGCGACAAGTATGACAACATCATTGCGAAGAATGGCGACATCTCCCCGTCATACCTTTGAGGGATCTCCATAGCGTATCGCTCTGTGAACGATGGGCGTTGCACCTCCCAAGGTTACCTACAGAGATGGATCTCAACCTAGCGTACACATGAATAACGTAACTTGGACTTAGCTCTCATTCTACAATCCCCAAGGCGAAAGGTTGTGAATTGCTCATCATCCTTAACACATCTGTCTCCTTCCAACGGTTGTCGATAAGGCAAGAAAAAAAAAAACACGGTAATATGGCGAATGAGTAGCTTTACGTATTTTTGTCTAGTCACACACCATAGCTGCTGCTCTCACCTCTCGGATCGGTATCCGTGATTGAACATCTACGAAAACACCACTTGTTTTCATCTCCCCTAGTGCCAACTTCTGTGCAAGTGGCAAAACGACTCCTCCGGCACCGGCCCGCAGAAAACCGTGTAGATCAGAGTATGTATCATTGAAACCTAGTAGATTACGACTGGCACAACGATCCTGAGTTCGTGAGACGGCTCTTGGCAAAAGGTACTTTAGAGCTCGGATACCACAGGGTAGCCAGACTTTAAGGAAGTAGCAGGTTCATCAACTTCAGAAACATTGGTTCAATACAACGCGTGACATAGATTTCTGGTATAGGCATTTCATTTTCTACCTAGCTTGCTCGACACAAAGAAGCAGCTCTAGCGTCCCTTTCCTTTCAGGAGGACCTAGATTCTCTCTCTCGATCTGTCTCAACCACTACCAAACCTCCATCTCTCCATCCACCATGCTGTTCCCAATCATGCCGCTTCAAGGCATCTCAAAAGGAACCAACAGAAGAAGCACTCGCGTCTCATCCTGCCAAAATAGGTCGCTCGGCATATTTGCTAAACGACCAAACACAGCCGCCAGAGCTGCAAGAAGAAACGAGATGTGTCAAAGAAACGACAAACAACAAGAGTGAGCAATATACATTAAGCACTAGGCGTATCCCTGCCCCATCCTCCATGGCCGCCGCTGCAGTCGCGTGGCACAAGATGGGGCCAAGGTAGGTGAATCGAAATCGCGAAACAGTGGGTGTTCAAGCGAGTGTGAAGAAGCGTAAAAAGAAAAGAAGATTGCAAGCCACGACTGATACCAGGCTGCAAAAAGGGTGTATCAAAAGCGGGTGTCATGAATGAGTGACTTGAAAGGTATAAACGCGTCGTCGGGGTTCGTTTCGCCCCTTGATCGGATTCATCGTCAGAGTCCAGTAAAAGGGGAAACCTCTCCCAAGTTCTTTTTGTGGTAGTTCGCAGAAACGCCGTGCCCGTGCTGTCCAGAATGCATAGTAGACCCTAGTCTATCGCCAAACGAAGATGAATCCCCAGTCTTTGTGCCAAAAGACGTTATATACGCAGGGAGTCAGTGTATATGAACGCTGCTTCGGTTGTCATTTACACAGCCTGTCCGGGGACGGGCTTGCGACCGACAGGCCCCACTGGTGGGCCTGGGCGGCCTTGGGCTGGGGGTCCATTCATGGGGCCGTTCATGGGACCGTTGGGAGGACCATTAGGGTTCATTCGGCTGGGCTGAGGGATTCTGGTAGGTCCCGGGGGGCTTGGCTTGCGACCTCCCATTCCGTTAGGGCTCTGCGGTCGCTGTCCCGGAGGACCCTGGTAGCGAGGACCGGGGGATTGAGGTCGGCCTCCGGGGCCCATAGGTCCATTGCCGGCGGGGGACTGAGGTCGGCCACCACCGTTCATGGGACGACCTGCTGGCGACTCGGGGCGGGGGTAGGGCGGGCCGCCCTGAGGGTTCATGGGGCGCTGGCCAGGAGGGAAGTTCGGACCGGGACCGCGGGGAGCACCAGGGCCCATGTGAGGACCACGAGGAGGTCCTTGGTTAGGTCCCTGGGCTTGAGGAGGTCTAGGCTTAACCGGGCGAGTGGAGAGGCAGGTGCGCGGTACAACACCCTGCTGGGATCTATCCAAGCGAATGCAGAGCGCCTAGGGCAAAGTCAGCTTACAAACTCATCATGATGCACATTATAACTTACCCAGCCATCATCGTACTCGTGGAGGAGGCGCACGAGCTGGCCAGCTCTCAGCTCCATCTCATCCTCAAGAGTGGGCTTGAAGTCAAGCTGCACACGGTGAACAGTGGTGTTGGCGGGACCTCCAGCGGCGGCGATGGCAGCAGAGCCAGTGGACCCGTTTGATTGGTGACCAGGGCCGGCAGAGTCGGCGCTGAACGTGGTTCCAGAAGGAGAAGCAGGGATGGTAGACAAGGGTGCAGGAGGCGCGGGCAAAGTCAGGTCCAGTGCCTTGGGACCGTCCTTGCGGGTCGACGCCTTGCGAGCCAGACCTCCGGCGGCGACAGCTCCAGCACCAACTGCCGCAGCACCTGCGGCAATAGCGGCACCGTTAGGAGCGGCGTTGGCGGGGATGTCACTCACGGCAGTGCCCGGAGCAGGCTCGCCGACGTTGGGAAGGGGCTTCTCGTTGAGGCTCATGGAGCTGACGGACTCCTCGGCGATGGGACCGTTGATTCTCTCGGCTTGAGCACCAAAGGGGTTCGCGGGGTTCGAGCTCTGGTTCGTTGCCGGTCTGTCCCAGGCGCCTTGGCCAGGGTTGCGAAGGCCCAGAGCAGCGGCAGCGGGGGCCAGGTTGGCGTTCATGTTGACGGCAGGTCCTCCGGCAGGTCCCTTGCTGGCGCGCTTGTCGAGGTTCAAGTTGGGCAAGAACTGGGTAACGGGGCGGAGGCTGATACGAGGAGCGCGAGGGTTCTGGCTACCAGCGGCAGCGGCGGCGGCTCCGAATCCATGGCTCTTCTCATCCTCGTCGGCCAGACGCTGCTGCTCCATCTGCTTCTTGCGACGGTTGAAGAGGAAGAAGACGAGCAAAAAGACGACGAGAACACCGGCCAAAACACCAATAGCAATGCCAGCCTTCGCGGCACCGCTGGTCTCGTTGCTGGTCGACTTGTCCGTGGTTGACGTCGCGCTAGGGGAAGCGCTGGAGATGATGCTAGCATTGTCTGCAGTGGCGGCAGTCTTGGTGGTCTTTGCGAACGTGGGCGCGTCTGTGGCAATAGCGAGCGTGGTCTGGATGCTCTCGGTCAAGGGGTCCTCGATGACGGTGGGCAGCGACGAGGTAGACGCGGCATCGATGGTGGTGGATGAGCTGTCGGCAGTCTTAATGATTGGGGCGCCGGCCCTGGCAATGGTAGTCTCGGTGGAGTCAACTGTCGTCGATTTCGACCTCGTGGGGAGGGGTGATTGAGCGACAATCAGCTTGGTTGAGGTGGTGCTCGTGGGGGCGGCGACGGCATCATCACCAGTGACGGTCTGGTAGATGGTCTTGATAACGGTCGAGCGGCCTTTCTTCGTATTAGCGCGCCGTGTGGTCGTGGCATCATCATCGTCGTCGTCCTGTCTGATTTTGAGATTACCTCCATTGCTTGTCGTGGCCTCGTCATTGGAGGCAAAGGGATTCAGATCCTTGAATTTGTCGCCAACATTGCTCCAGAAATCGGGGTTGCGAGGCGCGATATGCCTGCGGGCGTGGAGGTGGTGATGGTGAGCCATTGCGGCAATTGCGGGCGTGGGTTAATGGAAATGGATCAAATCCAACTAGTCCAGCCAGAAGTCGTCGGGGTGGTTGAAGATAAAGCGAGGCGTTTGAAGCGCGTAATGAATGATTCGTATCGTGAGTTTCGTGGGTCGAGGCGGGGTATCTGAAAAATGGAGGGAGGATATCTGGCGTGCACGGGAGAGGCTGGTGATGGGAATGCTCAAGGGATCCGGCTCCAGAAGGGAAAAGGTTGTGATGTTCGTGAGGCGATCGTCGAAAGAATGAACCAGCAAGCAGTGAATAAGTCCAGGTCCGACCAGGGAGTCGCGGTGGTCGAGGACGATTGAATTTAGAGAAAGACTGGCTGCCTTGGTGTTGTGGGTTGAAAGTCGAGTGTTGTTGCGCGTACGTGTGCGTGCAATTGAACGAATGTGAAGTGGCTCTGGGCCCGATGGAAGGAGAGTAAAGTGAGAAGGTGGGTGAGGTGAGGTCGTTGTTTTTTTGCAAGATCTCACTACCAGCTCACAGTCATTGGACAGTCACAAACCGTCTTAGTGAATTGTCATGAAGACGATTGGGGGGACGTCGATGATGTTCTGTTTGTGGGAGGAAAGAACGGATGAATCTGCACACCGTGACTCTTGGGAAGCTGCGAGAGAGCGGACGACGATGAAGTCTCTCTGTCTGTCTCTGAAGGGAAGAGAGTGCAGCGACAGCAGGAAGCAGTCAGGCTCAGCGAGTGAGATGCAGTTCGGACGGAACGGGGGGGAGGATGGGATGGGATGGGAAGAAGAGGGCGCATACGAAAGTGGGAAGGGACAGTGAGAAGAAGAGAACCGGGGACATTGAGGTTGCACGCACTTCGCAGACTGCCAGTTCAGGATCCTGGGCGAATGGGAAGTTGGGAAAGAGGCCCCAAGCAACGTTGGACGGATGACAAGGGTCGGACGACTGGGGTGTGGATGGGAAGCAGATCCCTGCCGTGACAGGTACCCTCAGTCTTTTTGCTCTCACTCTCACTCTCACTTTCTCACCCTCCATCTTGGCTCTCAGGATCACTTGCTGTACGTACTATGTAAAGTTAGGTACGAATACAGGCACGGGCACAGGTACCAAGACAGCAGGCAGGAACTGATGGGGGAGCGACTGCACGAGGACCGTGAGATATCAAGATAAAAAGGGAATGGCGCGTGGAAAAGGCGGCCGTGCGATACGGTCAAAGTCAGGGCTTGCAGTCTTTGCCGTCTTAGTGCCGTCCGGGGATATCACAGTCTGCGGTCTACTTCGTAAAGGTACCTAACTTCTTCTGCGTAAAGTAGTTGGCTGATGTCTCTTGGGTAACGGTGGGCGATGGCTCGGATCACATTTTGCACAAATGGAAGTTGGCCGGATTGGGATAAACGCGCACAAAGAATGCAACCGCGGCTCCAACGGTCATTCGACAATGCATCTGATCCACGTCCACACCATCGAGTCAGCGTTTCACCATCCGCCCTGTCTCTGGCCTCTCCCTGCGCTTGGGATGAACTCTAGCAGAGGTGCACACAATCAGGGAGGAAACAAACAAACACTTTTGAATAGTTACACATCCATCTACCTCAGGCTGTCCTCTCCTACGTGCATGCGAAACGGCATCTTTTCACTTGTAATCACTGTGCGAATAACCGACTGCCATTTATCACAAGGCTTCCATCCATCTTGATACGAGCACATTCAATGGAAGGCAACAAATCCCGCACCCATCCCATCGGTTTCCGACGTAGGTACCGACCTCAATCCGCCGGTCGCATTTTGCAGCTTGCCCATCCACACCGGCGCCCATCTTCATCAGCGCACATGCACGGGCCGCGCTAAAGCAGGGGCCTCCCAACGCCTATCCTGCCGTGCCTGTCAGGTACCGACCCCGTCTGATTGGCTCTCTTGTACATGGATCCACTCGTATCCACCACCCACCCACAGAATAAACGAAATTGTTTGCTCGGGGTTCCTGAGCCGTTCGTCCAATCAAACCCTGCCAGGTGGGACGGGAAAAGAAGGCGTTTGTCCGGCCCGAGCTTCAACCACCAGTGAACCATCACAAGCAGCCCCCAAACTCCAACATCCCCATCGTCATCGCCAACAGGGGACCAACACATTCAATCCGTACGGAGTACGGAATACCAATCACACAAACACCAGACTGGCACACATACACCATTACGGAGTACTAATGCTGTGATACGCGCCGTCTCCTGCCCTTCTCGCCTGCGCACGCGACGTTGTTCCCATTCGGCCTGGTCCCTTTTCTTTCCCGCCCAAACAGCATCCATCCTATCCCGTCGCCTTCGAGAAGCACGGCAAGACTGCCATGTTCATGCGAGCCACACACACAAAGGCAGCTTATCGCCACAAGAGAGTTAGCAAGAATGCACCGAAATAGCATTTTCTAAAGCTGGAAAACAGCCACCATCGAACAGATACCAAAGATAGCCTCATAAACGAAAAGACTGGCTAGAGCCTGGCGTGTGTGATGGCGAAGCTGGCCTGCCCATCCTCATCTCACCATTCGGCCCGGAACCTCGCAAGGGTTGATATAGGCAGCGCTGACTTACATACACTTACAAGTTACAGTAGAATGCCACGGCCATTACCGTAATTATCACCAAACCACCCATTGACACCGCCTCTCTTAAAGACCCCTCAAGAAGCAATCTTGTCTTTGAAAGAATGACACGACATGCTCTGTGCTTCTCCCTCGCGAGTCGCAAGGGCCTTTCAGCTTTCTCCGTCACCCAACTGCCCTTTCTTGATCTTCTCAAGCTACAGAAAGCAGTCAGTGCTCATCATCCGCCCATCTGCCTCGAATACGAGACTTGTCAGGCCACGTTGCCGCGAGGAGACCTTTTTGTTGTCCTGTCTGCCTGACAGAAGTCGGTGTGTTCGTGTCCAACAAGCGGTCGAGACTTCAAGAGCTGAGAACTGCACACCGTTCGATCTCGTTGCTTTTTCGGTTGCGTTTAGACTTCCCGCCGTGCGCCGGAAGAAAATTCAAACAAGATCTCCTGCGTGGTCTCAGGGAAACAAGCAAAGAAAACACACAACAAATCCTAACCTAGAGGCTAATTTTAAGACATGCATCGAACGGCGCCGTCAAGCCACCAAAAAGCCTAAAGCCACAAGACCGCTCTTACCTGGGCCCTCGAGGGTTCCATCAACACACCCGTGACACCGAAATTGGAGAGACCTTTTGAAACAAGCCGGTTCGTCCGCTCGTGCCATTAGGTTTGGTTCGCCTATTTCGTACCCGTCGCGCAGTGAGCACTCGCCATCACTGTCAAGTCTCAACTTTTGGTTCCCTCCCCCATGATCTGCCCGCCTCCACAGCATGCCACTGCCAAGCGCCTTTCGGTACCTGGCTACCTGGCAGATGCTGGCATTTTTCTCGCATTGTGGCCCATCTCTCCACACTGGAGATGACCTCCGCCCACCAGCCTTATCCATCGACATCCATGACATCCATGCGAGAACACGCGGAAACATGATGGCTAATCAGCGGGCAATCTAACGAAAAGACCCGGATGTGACTGTACAGCGTACGGGGTCAATTACCGCAGCCTGTAGGTGCTCGCAGGCAACCAACACGCCGGCAATATCAACATTGCGAATGGAGTCGTCTCCGTCAGAACGAAGTTGGGGGCAGGATTCCGCGCAATCCTCATTCCCGGGTATGGGGAACGTCGCGTCCCTGACATTGCCTCCCCATGCAGCACAGCAAACCGTCCATGCCTTACACAAAGTGCAGTGTCAGCACTTCAGACAATGTATTATGCAAACACAACGAGAAAACCTGTCTTCGACGTCGTAGATCGGCACAGCGTCATTTTACTGCCTTTGTGCGGCATGCTCCCGCAATCAGCCGGATAGCCCGAGAAGTACGGAGTAGGTTATGGAATGTTTCAATTAATCCTAGTCAGACCTGCCGTCTTCCTTGTCTTGATCTGAGGGAGATCTCCTGCTGCGCATCCGGTTATTTGGACGCGGGAGAAAACAGACAGAGACAGGACCGCGGCAGCGATCCGTACACCGGCCTGATGCAGCTCCGCGACAAACCTGTCTCATCTCGATCGTCTGCATTCCCTACAATAAATCAGTGTAGCGTCGGGCATCGTTGATATTCAAAGGCCATTCATTCATGGCTGAATTGCTGCATTTGATCATCAAAGCGAGCGAGCCTAGAACAAAATAGATACCGCCGGTTCATTTCGGAATTTCCAAGGGGACCCTTCGGAGACAGCCTCTTCCGTCAGTCAGAGCGTAACACACACAGTCTAACGTCGAAATAGAAACTTATTTTTTTCACTTTTATCTATCCATACCTCCTCTTCGCGTATAGTCGCGTCGCGAGTTCCCACAGTTCTAATCATTACAAAGCGATACAAATCCCAACACTGATCGCTCTCCTTTCTAGCTTTGCTATTGTAGGTTGCGGTTGGGCTTTACCTTAGCTGGTAGCCTCCCGGTTCAGTGTGCCAAATGTGACAGCTAGAGCAAGCCATGCGTTCGAAGGCTTTGCACGTCCCTTTCTCCGAGACTTCGTCTACGCTGATAGCTGGCATATGTCTCCTTTGGCTTAATCCGTCTAGGTGCAGAATCACAGAGGTTCCGATTCCACGCCCACGCTGCCTCCCGCCTCGTATGGTACGTCGAGCTTTGCACCTTCACCTGTTTACCACCAGCATCACGAAGGGATCTCATGCTCGACCTTGATGAAAGTCGATCTACTGCGGAGGCGGCTGAGCACCCCATTGGTGTGGCGGCTGTGGAGGCTGAGGGGGCTGCTGGCCTTGATATTGTCCTCCCTGTTGTTGCGGCTGGCCTTGTTGCTGCTGCTGCTGTTGCTGCATCTGTCCAAGCAACGCGGCAAAGAAGGCCGGGTTGATATAAGCACCCTGCTGCGCGCCCTGCCCAGGCTGACCACCTTGCGTCGGCCAGCCCGGCGGCGGCGGCGGAACGGCAGGGAAACCCTGCTGTCCCGGCTGCGGCACGGGCATCCCGGGGAACGGGAAGTTGAACGTCGGCGCCGTCGGCGCGGGTGCACCCTGCTGCTGCTGGTTGTTGTAGTTTTGTTGAGGCGCCTGGAACCCGGTCGCGCTGGCGCCGCCCCATTGTCCACCCTGTTGCTGCTGTTGATGTTGATGTTGCTGGTCACCGCCGCCCGAGTGATGTCTCTGAGGCGCCGAGTATCCCTCCCTGTGATCCCCGCGGTTTCCGTACCCGCCGCGTCCACGACCACGACTTCCTCCCCTGCCCCTATCGCCGCGTCCCCTCGAGTCGCCACGTCCACCTCTACGCCCGCCGAAACGACCCGGTTCAGGCTCCGTAGTGAAACTCTGCTGCGCAGGCGGGGCCTGGCCGAATCCAGGCGGTCGCGCGAGGGGCTTGTACGGACCATCGTCCTCGTCGTCGTAGTTGAGTCCGCCATCGGCAGAAGGACCGGCAGCCGAGGCGCTGACCTCGTTCCGCAGCGGATGCGGCTCGCGATGATTCCTGCTCCTCTTCTCGCTAGGTCCACCACGTTCGCCACCGTCCTTGCCGAACCTCGCCTCCTTCTTCTTCTGCTTGATCTGCCTCTTGTGCTCCGCCTCCTTCTCGTCGTCCGAGAACTCCATCTCGTCCTCGGCAATCTCCTCGTCGTGGATGTTACTCGCGTCCGAGCCCTTCAAATTCTTCAACGGCTGTGTGAAGACAAACTTGGCGTGCGCGGGCGGGTAGTACACCTTCACCCCGACAGCCAGCCCGGCCTCGGCAATCTCCTCGGCCGTGGAGAGCATGACGGTATACAGCGGCTGCAGCACCTTGCCAATCGTCTCCCACACCACGCCAAACACCTTCCGGTCCTCGGTGCAGAGCACCGACCCCGTGTCGAGGACCTGGTACTCGCCGGGCGTGAAGGCCCTCACCACCATGATGTTCTCGACAATCTGCTCCACGAGCCCGAGCTCCTCGATCTTGTCGTCCGCGGTGAGGGTCACGTCGGGCTTGGCGGGGACCGCGACGTCGGCGACCTCGTTCTTGGTGCGCAGGTGGCCCGAGGCGCCGGCCCCCGCGCCGCCGCCGTTCTTGCCGTCGCCGCCGCCTTCGTCGTCTGAGCCGCCTTCCATCTCCATGAGCATGCGCGCCGTCTCCTCTACGCCGAGGAGCTGGTAGCCGCCTGCGTCTGAATCGTCGTCCGAGTCCGAGGAGGAGTCGCTGGAGGAGTCGGAGGAGGACTCGTAGGGCGAGGAGTCGGCTTCCCACTCGGGGTGGTCGCCTTCGCCTTCGGCGGCGGGGTTTTGTTGGTCTTGGACTGTGGTGGAGGAGGTCGGTGCATCGATCATTTGGGGTCTTTCGAGCATTTGGGGGGCGTCAATCATCTCTGGTGCTGCGGGTGTAGGTGCGGTCGCAGGTGCAGACGCAGACGCAGGCGCTTCTTGAGCCGCTGCGGGCGCCTCTTGGGGAACTTCGACTGGTTGGGCTGGGGGGGTGTGATCGAGGCCGCTGATCATGGCCTCGAGGGCATCTGTCAGAGAAGGGGGCTCGGCGGCATCGTCGACGTTCATGGCATCGGGGTCGGTAGCCTCCTGTGGTGCGGCAGCTACGGGTGCCGCCGCGACGGGCTCTGCTGTTTGCGCAGGCGCAGGGGCGGGCTGCGACTCGGTCGTGCTCTCTCCCATGTTGACATCCTCATTTTGGCTTTGGACCTGCTCCGAGGTGCCGTTGGCGGCGGCGATAATCTCGGGATCGACGCCCTCGAAGCTCGCGGCGGCAGCGAGAACGTCGGCGGGCACCGGCGGCAGGGTCTCGTTCGGTTTCGCGAACCCCAGGCCGGGGATCTGGAAGCCTGACATGGTGGGATCTGTATTTGGGACCGGAGTTCTCTCGCTGGTATGTCGTCAATTAAAATCTAGTCGAGCAGTGTGAAAAAGTTCTCAAAAGACGAGTACAATGAAAAACCACAAAGTCTTGTTTGGAGCAGACTCGGGCGCAAGAGAAATGGAGAGTTGGGGAGGACCCGATAAGAAAATTTTAGTGGGGTCTTTGCTTTGCGATAAAAAAATAAACTGGGTCTTGTTCGGTGAGTTGCCGCGAGTTCTGACTTTCCTGACCTTCGGTGACATTCTTCTGCCCCACCTTCACCGAGCTCACCGCCCGCTTCTCACTTACACGCTCACCGATACGTACCTACTGTGTTATATAAGTACCTTACTTATGTTGGGTCGTAGGCACTAATTCCTTCGTTCCTGGCACGAGTACATCTTCTTCATAGTCATAACTCCATCGTACGCCAACACGGAAGCAGAATCTCCCTCTTCGCAGCCCAAACCCACCACGCAACCATGGCCAGCTTCTTCACTGATAGAAAGCGTGCCTGCGATGCGTGCCATCATAGGAAGGCATGTGCAACAGTGACTCGTGGTTTTTGATTGCTTGACCTTACTGACCGTAGCTGTCTCAACTGCAGATTCAATGTGACGCGGCCGTGCCCCAGTGCGACTGGTGCAGCCATCACCAGCTACAGTGCACCTTCAATCGCGTCGTGCATCGGAGGAGACGCGCAGCCTCCACCACACTGTGAGTTGTCATTGCGCCCATCGTAAGATGCTCATTCTCGCCCACGAATCCGGGCGAGCTTGAGTTCAACGCATGACGATTAAGAGCTGTTGACTCTTCTTCTTCATAGTCACACGACAGCAACGACAAGAACCAGCCTATCCTCGATCCCAGCAACCGCCGGCAGAACCAGCAGCAACCGTGAGGTCAACACTACGTGCATGACCAGACCTCAACCACGTACTGCTACCCACATGACATCGCTCGCAGCCTCGCCTACTGTAACTACCTCGATTATCAGCCTTGAGGGCTCGTCGTCGTCCTCCTCCTCCGTGCCACTGGCATGTGGACCAAGATTTGCCCGATACTATCTGAGCGAGACTGTCTCGCCCAGCGGTGCACCTTTCTTCTCTGTCGACCACCAGACCTGGATCCGCCGGTGTACGGGACAGGCTCACGTCTTCTCTAACCTGTCGGGGCTCGAACCAGCGTCGTCGTTGTCATCATCATCCTCCTGTGCCGGAGGCGACTACTATTCTGCTGATTGCAATCAGATCGAACTGCCGGCTCGACATGTCGTCGAAGACTATCTACAAATGTTCCGAGCGACTCCCTTCCGACTCGTGTTTCCAATCGTCGACGGTGTCTTATTTCAAGAAACCGTCAGTCAGGCTTACGATCCGCAACACGCAGCCAACCCAGCAGCCCAGGCCTGTGTCTTCTCCTTTCTTGCCATCATTACTCATACACAATGGAGCCCGCGCAATATGGCCGTCATCATTGACAGCGAGGCATGCGTCTGGCAGGCCCAGCGCCTGATGCCCCTAGCCCAAGCGAGTCAGGACATTACGGGACTCCAAACTTGCCTTATGCAGGTGAGTTGCGGCTTCGTAAGGGGAAGGAGAGGCTAAGCTGTGCTGTTCTTACCAATGTACGTTTCGGCTTCTAACGTAAACCAGTGTATGTATCACCTCTTCTGCGGTAAGATCCAGATGGCCTCAATGGCCCTTGCTCTTACCTGTCGCCTGTTGTTCGTATTAGGAGCACACAGGCAGCCCAGCGCAGCAAGCGATGCGCCCGAGCAGCAAAGCCGGACAGAAAGCCACGCGCGCCAGCTGTTCTGGCTCTGCTACACCTTTGACAAGATTGTGGCACTTCGGACCAGCCAGCCTCCCTGCATCGACGACGAGCACTGTGACCTCACGCTACCTCCGGGCTACGTAGAAGGGCTATACATTGACCACGTTGATACCGTTAGTAGCAGTAGCAGTAGCAGTAGTAGTGGCGCCCTCTGCTGCCTGCCGGGCGATTTACGGCTGAGCATCATCAAGTCCAAGGCCTGCAGGCTGCTATACTCGGTCCGCCTACAGCAGTATTCGTCCAACCAGCAGCATCACCGCCCAACACCCAACGCCGGGCTGCTGCGCGAAGTGCGCGAATTGGACAGTGAGCTAGAGCGGTGGCGCCTCTCCATCCCGGCCCGGTTCCGGCCCATGTTGCTCGGCCGGAGCTACAGCGGCAACAACAACGGCGCCTGCTGGCTTGACCCGACTTTGGACGCCAGCCAGAGGATGCATGTTATGGTGCTGCACTTTGAGTACCAGCACCTTGTGGCCGCTCTGCACCGAGCCGCGAGCCCATGGCTCACCTTGGGAGGCGAAGCAACTGTGTCAACGGCGGCGACCTTACCGTTGGGGTCCAGTCAGAGTCAGACCTTGTCTGTCGAGGCCAGCCGGTCTTGCCTAAAGTACTTTCGCGATGCTGCTCCTTCCCTGATGGGAGCTGCCTTTTGGTCAGCAACCCCCCTTTTCTACTTTCCTTTCGCTCTTTCAATCCGATGATCAGTTGCTGAGCAATAAGTATTTTTCGACAGGGTACTACTCTTCTACCCCGTATCTGCTGTAGTCACTCTATTTTTCAATCTGTTGCGGAATCCACTGGACGACCAGTCGACAGACGACCTGAGACTCCTCGAATCCATCCCGAACTTCGTGAGCGTGGACTGTGCTAGAAGCTCGATCCCACCCTATGAGCTTGACTTGAATACCGTTGACGATTTTGTGGCCGAGGTGATCCGATTGTCCAAGCGTGCTATGACTATGGCTGCTCACGTCAAGTAAATTGCTTGATGGTTACACATGTATGTTTTTCGATAATGCTAAATATCTTGAGGTGGGAATGACCCGTATTTGTATTGGTCAACAACAGGCACTGGCTATGCTGGATCTTGAGACTGAATGACAATAGTAGATAGTGGGTCTCTAGAAAACAACTTAGAGAGACGGTATGCAAGCCGTCACAAACACCTCCTCCTATGGCCCCACCGCCAATGCCGGGTGCCGCCCCGGGTCGGACCAGCCGAGTGGATACACTCCACTTATGGCCAGGCGGCCGACGGCCACCGCCATACTAACATTAATGAGGCCGTCGACGTCTACTACTTTGTGCTGCATCACGCCTTTGTTCCGGGGTGATTTAACCGTCACTTTAGCTGGGGCGTACTCTCGTATAGCGTCGACTTGGCCGGCGCCGTCTCCATCACGTATCCCAGCACCGCCATGCAGCAGGACCTTTACCGCGATCTCCTGGCCCAGACTGGCATTGACGCCGCCCAGCTCGCCTACGTCGAAATCACACGACACTACCAGTCAAGCTGGCGACACGGCTGATGAACCGGCAGGGGTACGGGAGCATCTTCGAGCTCATGCGCAGACCTCGCTGGTCAAAGTGGCTTATACAGCCACGCCGCGTGCATCATGCTTACCGGACTGCCTATGTGTCCGATTCCCATCATCAATCTTGTACTTCAGCTGATAGTCAACGACAAAGACGGCATCCCACTAGTCGCACGTAGTAGTGCTGGGGCTGATGAATACAGTAGCATCGTCTTTCTCTTCCCCGGCCGGAATATGAAGCGGAACTCAATGCTGCCAAGTTTCCCATTAGAGACCGATCCTGGGCGGGGATAAATTGCGGTTGCTTCCAAACGGACCGCTCGGGTATGTGACGAGCAATTTACTACGTGCGCGTCCTTCTTGATAAGCATCGGGGTTATGAGAGCCATTGGGAACGTCCTCTTCCTGCTGTTGTACTTGCGTATGCCGGTTTGTCGTGTCCAGCAGGGCTATGCTGCATCCGAAAGAGGAAATTTGCCGCTTAGTCATTGATGCTAGCTTGGTTTTCCTTGCCCGTTGATAGCTAGCTCAATAATCTACATGGGAGGTTGAGAACTATCACCAACCAAGGACGACGAAAAGAGGGAGTTCACAGTTTCTAGTCTGCTACTATGGACAGGCAGAAATGGGTACTTATCAGGGTCTCAGCACTACGGGGTTGCTCAAACACTCATTTAAGGGCGGGCATCATTTCCTTTTATTACCAGCGAGTTGTCTGCATGTTATATACACATCTTCATCCATAAAGACCTGAGGCGCCTCTTCCTTCACAATTTCCTCTCCCCTTTCTCTTAATACTCTTCTTAGCCAGCCTGACAAAACGAGAAACACAGAGACTAGATATGGATACCAGCGACTGCACCTTGACCACCTGCCCGGTCAGCTTGTCTAGGATTGGGTTCCTGCCAAACCTGGGCGGCAACGCCTTCATGGTGGCCTGGTTCGGAATCATCCTGATAGCACAGGTAGTCCTCGCAATCCGGTATAAGACCTGGAGCTACCTGGCGGGCCAGGCGTGCGGGCTGGTGCTCGAGGTGGTTGGCTATGTCGAGCGTATCAGGCTCCGAGATGACCCGTTCGACAACCAGACATTCATCGTGTAAGTGAATGCGGCCCTCCCTTCTCGCCCCTTTCCTTTCTCCGATCACACGTAAAGCTGATGGTTATCTCATTGTTCTGTCATAGATACATCGTGACCATAACCATCGCCCCAGCCTTCCTCTGCTACACCATCTACCTCTGCTTCGGACGCATCGTACTCATCTACGGCCCCCACGTGTCGCTCATGCCCCATCGATCCTACACCATCATCTTCGTCACGCTTGACATCATCTGTCTTATTCTTCAAGCTGGCGGTGCGGCATGGACGCAGGCCGACGATATCAATCCCCAGGATCTCGACCGGGCGCTCAACTTGCTGCGGGCCGGTCTGGGACTGCAGTGTGCCAGTCTAGGTCTTTTCGTCCTGCTCTCGCTGGATATGGGAATCCGGGTGCTACGGAACCGGAGCACATGGACCACGCGGTATGCTCATGTCCGTCAGCACAGAGCATTCATCTACTTCCTCGTGGGTAAGTTTATGTGTGTCTTCAGTCTTAGCTGGTTCCCCGTTTGTGCTGATACTCTTTCAGGATCCTTTGCGGCCGCCCTACTGATCCTTGCCCGCTCTGCCTTCCGCGTCGAGGAGCTACGCAACGGCTTCAATGCTGCGGGTGACAACGCCGAGACGCTCTTCATGGTGTTTGAGGGCGCCATGATCGGCCTGGCTGTGCTGCTGCAGACCATCTTCCACCCAGGCTACATTCTTGATGGCGAGTGGCGCGCCACCAGCTTCTTCACCAAGCAACCTGACGCCCAGCACAGCCAAGGACGTGTGATCGAGGGAGAGTCTGGCTCTTCTTTGCAGACTGCGCAGAAAGGTGGATAGGAGTAAAGTCGGGTACGTACGGTGGACAACGCCCGCGAGAGAAAAGTGCCTCTTTTGACACTTTTCGCACGAAAACTGAAGTAGGGACTTGCCTGCCATTCCTATAATGGATTTGGCATCCATATGAAGTGAGGTTTCCTTGTGTTTTCAAACGCACTGCGCGCGCTATCTGGATACCTGACAGTGGTTGTGCTTTTGAGTCTGTTGCACACTATCTGATACTTGCTTCAAATTGTTCCTCTACCTGATGAGGACTGGGAACAGCAGAATTGTAAATTATGCTAAGAAAGAAGAAAGAAAGAAACTGAGAAAAAGAGGATAAAAAAACGCACGAATACAAAAACACACATTCCTCGCCTCCATGTCCTGTTTCTCGCTGCCTGTCTGTATGCCAACCGTGTCAAGGAGCGGACTTTTAGATTAGCTAGATCGCGAACACTCCAAGACAACCTCTTTGATATACTGACTCGTTTCAATAGCCCGCGGCATATCCATATTGGAGATGCGGTCAGCATCCATCACCCAGGCTTGAAGCCCCTGACCGACCAACTTCTGCCACCCGTTGGACCCAAATGTCGTTCTCTTGGGGTAGGATCAGGCCATCATCCCCGAAGCCGCATACTCCACATTGTTGATATCGTCTTCGCCAAAGAACCACGCCTAACCACCTCGTCCATGGCCGATATCTTCTGGTTCGCCGTCCGTTGTTGCTTGAGCGAGCCATTCGCGACCTCGCAGAGGCCCATCTAAGCCCAAATTATGTTGGCCTTGTATGGCTATTCCGTGAATAGTCAACAGCAAGAATCTACCATATCTATAGACCAAACAGCTGAACCAATGTAAGAATTCGTCCATCGAATGTTTCGCAAGATTTTGTCGGAGCCTTCGTATAGACAGAAATGGAATTCAAATGTGACTTACATTAGGTCTCTATCGTCTTGGAGCCACTCGGTTTGTTGCCAGGCTCCCCTCGATCCCTGTCTTGCTCGTATAACACTAACGCGAAGCGGGATAGTCTCGCTAATGGGGATATCCCCACGTGTGGCATCGCCTGCTTGTCTCGACTACACCTTCACCAGCTTGATATCCTGCAAGGAGTCTTAGATCTGGAGATCGTACGACTTAGATGCCACGGTCTATGGAAATCCTTCGGTGCAAGCAATGATTCTCAGACCAATGGTATGGGCGTGGTGGTCGCTCACCACCAATCACAGAGCGTAAGCAAGGGATTCCTATCATCAAAGTGATTTACATCGCCGCAAGAGGAAATGAAAATGCTACAGATATCTCGTATCCGAGATCCAGAGACCCAATCGTGGCTATGGTGGAAGATACCCCTCTACAACATCAACGTGTCCTCGATTAGAGCGATCTTCCCAGGTTGGCTCGCCCGGTGGGAGTATGGAGGAGGAATGACTGCTGCCTAAGATTGACTACCTACGTCGAGGTTCTCCATCGGGAAACATCAAGACAAGCTTAAGTATTGTATGGCCGTGTTTGAAACATCGAATTTTTGTAGAGTCCAGCTGCAGGTTATTCTTAGACCCTGCGAAGTGACCCGCAGGTCGAGCACAGCCTACTTCTAATCTCCTTTTCTATGCAGCCTCGGATGCTGCTTAGAAACCCCTCACGCTCCAATCAGTGTAAGTGGCAGCAATGATGAACTTGGCTTCGGACTTGATGATGCAAGGTGCAAGATGACGAGAGCGGTGGTGACGGAGCCAAGCTTAGGGAGTTCCAACGAAGACAGGTTTTGTCTCGGAAGGGGTGTTTGCCATCTTACTCACTAGTGTAACACCCCTACTCCTTTCTGAATGTCCTCTTGTATCGGTTCAAATTTCCTGAGGATTTGTATATATATTTAAATCAAAGTCCCGTCCGATGCTGGTGTATCAAAGCAGTACCCAGACCAACCGAGAAGCGACTGAGAGTTTTGCTCCTCTGCTCTTTTCAATCTTTACACCAAACTACCACCTTCGTTCATCTCCACCTTCAGCTACAATGACATCTTGGAAATTGACGGCGGCACTTGCCCTCGTAGGATTCCGAGCTGTCGGAGCTCGAGACTGCACATTCGACTCGATCACGCCCTCCCAAGACCTCGTCTGGTGCCCATGTGAAGGCCAATTCTTCTGCGCCAAGCTTGATGTAAGTCATATCTCCAACCCCCCTCTCTTTCCAACTAACAGAGTTACCCAGGTACCTCTCGATTACAAGAATCCGAGCCTTGGCAGAGCTTCCGTCCCCTTACTCAAAATACCTGCCGCCGCCGAGTCCCCAGACGGCCCCTACCGAGGCGCCATCCTCATCAACCCAGGCGGACCAGGAGCGTCTGGGATCGAGCTGGCACGCTACAATGGCACCACGGTTCAAGCCGCGGCCGGTTCTAACTTTGACATCATCGGCTTCGACCCCCGCGGTGTTGGGATTAGCGAACCACGACCCAATTGCTCAGCAGGCATCTCGATAGGCAAGAATGGTACACTTTCCGGACGAGATGCCCCGCGGGTAGTTGATGGATACTACCAACAGTTCATCGACTTTGGCAAGGAGCTCGGAGAAAAGTGTCAAGCTCAGGCTGGTGCTGATACCGAAGCCGGTCCGCACATGACGACTGCTGTCACTGCGCGCGACATGCTCAGCATCGTTGAGGCATTTTCGGCTTCTCCTGATGGGAACCGGACGGTGCTTGACTCAAGTAAGCTGAACTACTACGGTGTGAGCTACGGCACCATGCTCGGTCAGACATTCGCGTCGATGTTCCCTGATAGAGTTGGTCATGTGGCTATCGATGGGCTAGTGGATCCGATCAGCTACCAGACGAACTTCACTTCGAGCTCCATCAACCACGTCGACGGCGTTTTGGGAGCGTTCTTCGTGTACTGTCATGCCGCAGGCCCGGATCTCTGCTCTTTCTACACGGGAAACACGCCAAAGGACATATTTAGCAGATGGAATGCTTCGTTTACGCAGCTTGACGCTCAGAAGGCTGAGGAAGAAGGCTGGGCGAATGCTACCGACATTGGTCTGGCACTTGTGACGTTCAAAGTCAGCGTTCTCAGTGCGGTGGTGCAACCACTGGCCCAATTTGGCAGAATTTCGGATGTCTTTGTTGCATTGGAGAAGGCCATTTCGTTAAACTCCGTTGCTGTGTGGACCGAGCAGACGAACGCGATCTACGGCGACCCGAATTTGGGAGGATACGTGTATCCCGAACAGACTCTTGGCGTCTTGTGCTCTGATCAGAGCAATACCTGGTATGGAAAGTCACTCGCGGATATTAAGCCTCTCCTGGATGGCTTGAAGGATACGAGTATCGTGGGAGAAGTCTGGTCTAGGGCGATGCTTGCATGCCTCGATTGGCCCATCAGATCCAACGACGTTTTCAAGGGTCCGTATGGAGGTAACACCTCGTACCCGATGCTCTTCGCCAGTAACACGTACGATCCTACGACACCCATTGAGAAGTAAGTTGATCCTGCTTACGGTTGTAAACCTCGCTAACGAGAGTTTTCAGCGCCATCTCGAATGCGCCCAAGTATACCAACGCTAGAAGACTCGTCACTGATGGCATGGGTGTAGGTTCAATCTCAACATCTCCTTCACAGGTGCAATGCGCTAACAGTATCATAGCACACCACTGTCGCCACGAACAACATGTGTGCGTTCGCCGCCATTCGATCTTACTTCCAAGACACCATGTGTGGCAAGGAACACTACTGTCCATTGGAACTGGGTCCGTTCAACGTTCACTTGAATGGAACGATTAAGGAGAACCTTGAGGCTGCAGGACTATCCAACTTGCGCAGTCTTTACTGATGTGCTTGAACATATCTCATTTCATCGCGGCTTACCTCCATGGTCCGCTGAACATACATGGGAACATTGTCCTCACGTGCATATTTGCGAATTTTGCTTCTCTTCTGGCATCCCGTTGGAAAAGGCATCATCATTGGAGGCATTCTACACTCAAACTTTTTGAGTAGAAAATAACTTCCAGAAGAAGTTGATTTTGGAAAACGCGCTGGCGTGCATAACTAATTGCCCAACTCGTGTACTCCTAAATACGACGGACCCAAAATGTAACAATGAGCGCTTCCAACTCCAAGCTGCCAACAGAACGAAGCATAGAACGGTCGTCACTCTGCAAGAATATTAAACTGAACCAGCCATGTTTTTATAATGAGTGTCTCTGTCTAACATGCCTCTTTAAGTTGTCTTCACGACCGCCACGAATGGTCGCATTACAGATGTGGCATCTGGGTGTTTCCTTGCGGTGCGCAGACCTGTCATGTCTCTGTAGATCCCTTGCGGTGCTGAACCGCAGAGAACATTGGGGCACCGCGCAGACATGCTTCCGGATGTGGCACCTGATATGCTCTCTGTACTATTGTCAATTCACGAGCCGAAGTTGAGGATCTTACGAGCACACGAACCTAAGTTGCTTCGCATCTCCACTGAAATTTTCACAGAACGGACAATCGCCCGAGGTTGACGAATCATCCGAGTCGGACTCATCTCTAGAGCGTTTAATGCTATCAGTCCGAGTGAGGGGGGCCTGAAAACCCCAGTCAGCAGCGTCGGGCTGTACGCCTTGTTTGTGTGGGAGAGGTCCTTGGGGGCTCGCAGAATCTGAGAGGAATACTGAAATCGAATTGTCGAATCCACTTCCGATAGAGAAGTCGAATGATCCAAGAGCGTGGACAGACTGGTCGTCTGGGATGTCCAAAGAAACGAGGCCAGTATCGTTGCTCTGGCGCAAAGGGATCACATCTGGATATTGTGCTGTCAATGGTGCATTGTCGGTGATGTGCAAATCTGCGAGGGACTGTTGCGGAGCTTGCAAACTGTTCCATTCGAAAGCACCAATAGCTTGGAAATCCAGTTGACTGGTATGTGCGGACAAGTCGTTGATTGAGTAGGGTACACTGCTCAGGTCAAGATCCGGGAAGCGATCGTCTGAGAGCGAGGGGCCAGCAACTGGCAATGTGCTTCCGCTGTAGGAGGAGCTGCGTGAGAGGCTGTCGTTGGTACCATGAAAGCAACCACCAAGCGGTCCATGATGCAAAGCATGGCAGCACAAGTCATGTGGGCATGCTCCATGAGATGAGATGTACGTCGCCTCATTGTTAGAGCCCAAAGTTAGGGCAGCAGGGTAAGTAAAGCCTGTGCTCTCTGGTGTTTGAGCTGAAGCCGGAGGTGAAGAGCTAAGGCGATGCATTCAAGGTCAACATATGTGTCTGGTAATATACCAAACGTTGGACATGGGGAGCCTACAGGTTTTGAGACCATATAGTTGTTGGTGGATGAAGTCTGTCTTCATCCCCAAAGCTCGGTCTCAGACTGTGAATAAAGTATGTCAGGTCTGAGGACATGTTGGAAGTTTGCTTCCGATTGGGACTGAGGAACATGAAGACTCACATTATTAAAACACAAGTTCGGGGTGGGCAAAGACTTTATATTTATATTGACCATGGTCTAGTAACATGAATCGCAATGCGTGGAGAAGCGGACGAGAAGGAGATTCAATGAGCAGTTCAAACAACTGTGTGAGAACAGCCAGTCTCTTTAAATACACGATGCTATATCGCCCAAGCTTCATTCCATCGATGATCATAGATGCGGAAGATTTGGTGTATGAAGTAGTGTGGCTTAGGTTTGATGAGCGCAGTAGATCGTGTGTGTGTGTTTGTTGGGTAGCTATGGTAATGCGAAGTAATGGTTAATCTCATTGCCAAGTGCGCGATGTCCATCTTTTATAACTTGAGCCAGGAGACTGCGCCGGACAATAGCGAGACGACTAGAATGAGCGCCTCAAGGTAAGCAGGCGCGTGGCCTCAGACAGCGCCGCATCCAACATCGAGTAAAATCTCAATGTCTCCGCCTCATTCGTGAGGCCACACCGAAGATGCACAGCAAAGCTGCGCATGACACGTTGTGTAGTGAAATAAGGGAAACATGCACTTTCTCAGTGAGCCTCCCAGCCTGCCTCGCGAATGAACTCGAAATAACCGCCTATCGGGCATGGGTATGTGTAACACAACCGCTCCCCCTCCCAGCCTGCGCCGACCTGCTATGCGCCTCCAAAGGAAAACCGGCACAGCATCAGACTGTCACTGAAGGACACTAAAGACAGCCTACAGGTGAGGCCACTGAGGCGAGTCCCCGGATTCGTGTCGGGTGTCACGATGAATGCAGGCTCAGCTCTGCAAGCCACCTCTCGAGGGCGGCCTCCATGCCAAGTCCCAAGCGAAGACATCCACCCAGGCTATCTATCAACACCAACAATACCCGTTAGGCTCTCTCGCTGTTTCAGCTCAACTCAGGCAGTGAGAACCGCTGTAATGTGGCCCAGTATGCCTAGGCAGTCTACATGGTTGACGTGGCCTCAGCACCTCGATCAAGCCCGAGGGCCTCAATCAGGGGTGTCTTGTTTTCTTCCCCGATGCTCTACTACGTAGAACGCCTTGATCGAGCTCGTTCGTAATTTGGCCCTTCGGTGTACCGAGCGAGGTTGTTCAAGGCTGGGCTTTTAGTAGGCAATTGCGCACAAACCCAATTGCACAACAACTTGCAACCTCATGTTTCAATTCCTATCTGCTTATACAAGCCTCGTGATATGAATTGTAGTTCTTACAATGTGACGTGCGGGCGGACTCAAACCACCATAGTAGTAATTTTTTCCTTCCCGGAAACAAAAAAGCATTCCAAATTCTTTTCCCATGGGGTATCTTTTGGTACCGTCAACGCCAAATAATCGGACAAAATTCCCCTTTCTTCCCATATCCACTTGATGTGCAAAGCCTCCTTCGTTGGCGGGTGCTATGTAAGCGTCGACAGAAGTAATGACCGCCGCGCGGTGAAGAGCGAATTCAAAGACGAAGGTGATGATAGACGTAGCAAGCAAGCTCAGTAGTAACCGCGGCCCTTGGCACGGCCGTGGTGGTTACGACGACCGCCCCAACCACCGCCACCGCCGCCCTCATGACGCTTATCGCGGTGGTTATGGTTGTTGTTGTTGTTACCGCCGCCGCGCTGCTCAGGCTCAATGGGAACCTCAACCTCGACCTCATACTCCTCGTACTCGTCGCGGTAGTAAGCCTCGACCTCCTTGCGCTCCTGGCGGGCGCGGTCCGGGTCAAACACGAAGCGCATGGTGCCGTCCTGGCTGCGTCCATTGCGCTTAGCAGAGTTGCTACCAAAGAAGGAAATGTTCTTGAGGACGGAGACGCCGTTGGAGAGGTTCTCGTCCTCGCCGCCGTCGCAGTTGGTGCACCAGTGGGCGTAGCGCACGAGGCCGGGGGTGTTGTCGACCTCGCTATTGATGACGATCTTGACCTCGATGAACTTGTTGAGGTCGAACTGGACGCCGAGCTTGGTGGATTTGCCATGCTGGGTGTAGAGGTCGAGGAGGTCGAGGACCGTCTCGACGACGTTTTGGCGCGTCGTGTGGAAGTCTGCGTAGTTGATCTTCTCTACCTTGTCGACGCCTTGGCCGAGGAGGCGGGCGCTGAGCTCTAGAAGGCCTAGGGCCAGGGCGTAGGTTGTCTGTTTGATTGGGGCAAAGGTCTTATACAGGTCGACGCTCATCTCCATGGCAGTAGCGAAGACGTTCTTGGATTGGGGGCCCAAGATCTTCTTGGTTGCCTTCAGCAAAGCGGACTGGGGGTAGCGGCAGCGGAAGTCGAAGCCGACGGTCTCGAGGACCAGGCGCTCCAGGCCGATGATGATCTTGGAGGGCTGTTCAAACATCTGCGATTGGGTTAGTCCCAGCCAAATAAGAGGCTACTAGTCATCACACACCTTGTCGTCCTGGGTCGTGGGGTGCTCGGGATTCTTAATGTTGTACGCAGCGCACAGGATCTCCTTGGACTTCTTGATGGTGTCCTCGACCTTGCAGGCTAGGAAGAGGCAAGCCATGGCGGCATCTGAATAGTTGTACTCAGCGTCGCGGAACGAGAGTCTGAACCAGTGGAAGTAGACACAAGCAGTGTCAAACGTCTTGATAGGGCTGCGAGTAAAAAGTCAGCATCACCACTTCAGCAAGCTCCTGCCATCGGAACCAGAACGAGGGTCCAACATACACGCGCAGCATGGTGCGGACGTTATCGATGAGCTGCACTCCCTGAAGACGGTAGCTATCCTCCCTAGCTGGGTCGCTCTTGTTGTCTCGCAGCATGCGTCTCAATCTCTGCTCGCTCGTGAACTGGCAAGACACCTGCATGTGGCCAGGGTGCGGACCCTTGGCCGCCGCTGGCTCGGGGGCAGGTGCTGAGTTGTTCGTGGCAGCAGCACTCTGCGCAACGCTCTGCGCCTTGGGGCCGGAGGGAGCCATTGTGTAGTCGCCGTCGCAATCTTCGCCAGCCGTGTCTGAGTCGCCCTGCAATGTCTGCTCGTTCTCGTCCTTGAATGCGTCGCCGCAGTCGAAATCGCAGTCGAGGTAGCGGTCGTTGTCGCCTACGGTGCCAGAGTCGTCAGAGTCACCGTCGTCGTCGTCGTCGTCGTTGATGGCTAGGTACGAAGTACGCGTGATGGGAAGCTGAATCCAGCTGTAGTCATCGAACCAGACCTTGTCTCCCTCGAGGGGCAGGTCGAGAGTGGTGTCGTCTTCGTGGAGGTTGTTGATCTGTTCCAGCGTAGCCTCCGAGATTTCGCGTCCGAGGGTCTCCAAAACTGCCTTGTAGATGTCCGGCAGAGTGGCGGTGGGGTGTGTGAACGGTGCTGGACCTGCGTCCACGGCGGCGTCCCAGTCGACCTTTCTTTTGCGCACGGACCGTGTCACCCAGTTGGGGTGCTCCACGACTCGGAGCCGGAAGCGGGGCGGTTCGACGGACCGGTCTTGTCGATGCAAGACACGGATCAACTTGGGATGGCCGTCAACTGTGAAGTCGAATTGCTTGATCTCTGAGGTTCCAGGAATTGAAGAGTTGGCAGGAACATAGTACCCATTGAGAGCAATCATCCCAGCTGGAATAACTATAAGAGACTTCTGTGTTCGTTCATCGTGTTAGTTCATCGTCCATCTCTATGTGCGTAAGTAGTAAGAGCGTTTGGGGATGAAGTTCCATAAATTGTCCCCATGACTGAATAACTTGATAACGTGATAGATATTCACTTAGCGCTCTCTGGAGAGTAGAGGATATTGCTAACGGTCTTCGAAAAGGTAGGAAATCAACTTGCCATGATGTCCAGAGAGGCGAGAGTAAAAGAGAGTGTAGGTGAGATTGTAGTCAGCTGGTCAATGTGAATCCGCTCGACGAAGAAGCTGCTCGATGACGAAGATGAGCTAGAATGATCGACCAAGGTAGTTCAGTTGCCAAGTAGACTTAGTCGATAGCAAGTGACTGGTGGCGTAGATCTCGAGAGCGAATGCAGAAACTTCAAACGTGAAGACTTCGAAAAGAGAGTATTGAAACCTTGAGTCGGGTCAACGATAGCTTCGCAAAGAGATTTGCGATAAGACTGCAATTGTCGATAGCAAGATAAATACCCTCAAGAGGCGACGGCCAAACGAGCACGGCGAAACTGTGGTCACTCAACGATGAAGGTATCGTCAACTGGTTGAGTTTGGGAGCATAAAGTCAAATGAGAAAGTGGTGGATATCTCGGCGTCTATTTTTTTTCCAAGCGCAGGTTCGAAAGACCGCCTTCAAAGGTAGGTACAATAATATTCTTTCCTTCTCCAAACGTTTTTCCGTTTCCACTAAACGAACCCGGGGAATTGAAGCCTCCTTTCCAGCCGCGTGGGGAGTCAAGGTGCGGCTGGTGAGGCCTTGAACCCGGACCGTGTTGACAATGGGACCAAGGAGACCCGTCTCTGAACGTTCCTCCTCGCAGATTGAGCATGTAGACTAGTGATAGGGGTATCTGAGAGGGACGTTAGCCATGTGCCATGCCTCATGTCTTTAGACAACAAAGGGTTGTAAAGGAATATCAAAAAGGCTGCTTGGTGTCATTGTGTGCAATGCCGTACTGAAACATCGTTGACGGTATATAAGTCGTAAAGGAAAGTTACAATGGACGTAAGTGGAGGCTGTTGGATAAAGACAAACCTTTTTGATATCACCGGTCTACTCGTAGCACCGAGTAACATACGGACGCATCCATGTCCATCCCCCGGCGTCATGTTCGAGAAACGTCGATAGAGCCGCCCACATCTTCCCTCGGTGCTGTTCCACAAACCACCTTACTCGTCACAAGTGTCCGCCTGAGGAACACGGCGGTCGATAGCAGGAACCACCGGTGCAACCGTGTTGGGGTCCAGCGTCGGGACCTCGAAGGTCTTGAACGGCGCCGCGAGGACGGCAACCGGGAAGAGGACGTAGAGAACCTTTGAGAACTGCATTTTGATCGGTTGGGCGGACTGTGAGATGGAAACGTCTGATGAGCGAGACGAAAAGAGTGAAATGCAGAGCAAAGGCGTATATTTAGATTGAAGGATGGAAATAGAGAGATGCAGTTGTTCAGATCAGACAAACTCGACAACTCTGCAGATGGGTATTCAGTTCAATGAGCATACTCGTCTTCCCGTGTTTCAAGTGTCGTTCGAGAAGGGACCGTCGTCCATACTTATGGAACCCGCGAACACTGCCCACCCACGTAACCCGCCAGCAAAGACGGTTCACCCGAACACATGCCGTCCGAGCCAAGGCCGCAAAAAGATCGGCCGATCAACGTCGCCCAGCCACAAGGCTACTTCATGCACCCTTCGGTCTTCAGCGTCGTCAGCCTCTGTCCCTGTACGAGGGTGTGTCGTAGACTGTGGTGGTGGTACTCCGGGGGGGAAACACCAGTAAGAGAGCGTGAGAGGCTAGGTTGCGTGAAACAGGGGACCATTTCTTGGTTGCATCTTTGGTCTCGCACCGAGAGCGTTTCAGAGGGGCAGAGAGGGCAGGGAATCCCGCCGACCTGGGATCTACCCACCACTGAGCCGTTGAACACTCACACGGCTGGGGGGAGGGATGGCCACTCGAGTCAATCGACGTAACGAACGTCTATGCTGCGTTCTACCGCCATCCGTGAGCGACTAGCTCCCAGGAACGAGGACCGACACTTGACAAGGCCCCCGACGGACTTGGCTGGAGCTGTTGCTGCTTCTAGTCTGTCTGCTGTGAACTTGGCAGAGGAGGACCGCCGGACCTCCAAGACTTTTGACCGACGTTGACAGGGGAGGCTAGGTCTACCGTCTGGCTGAGTAGTTGAACTTGGGCATCACGGTGGTAGAGAGCACCGGGCCAAAGAGACGGCTTGAGAGCTGTCGAGGTTGAAGCTCCTGAGACGCTAACCCCTTGAGGCCTGGGAACTTCGTGAATTGGATGGCACGGACCGCTGGTAAGGTGCTGACCTAAGCGTGTCAAGGCACGTTCAGTAAAGATGAGTGGACGGGCTCTCGGAACATCCCCCAGCCCACATGTTTTGTCCGTGGCCAATGGGAAGCTCAATCGATAAGTCAGCACTGCATGGCGATAGGCAGGCGGCAACGGCCAAGCTCCTGCTCTCACCCAACCGCGCAGCTACAGTCCACGGGCTTAGGTTGGGTGTCGTCAGCTTTCCCTTGCCACACTCCCCTCCATCCCTTTGACATCCAAAGAAAGACCAACAATAGTCTCCGGGACACTGGTCGCTCTCCAACCTCACAACCATAGTCCAGCTTTGATAGTAGTAGACGAATAACCAGAGAATACGAGAATCCACAATGAAGTCCCTCTCCATCCCCACGCTGCTCACAGTCGGCTCCCTAGCCACTGCAGCCTACACGGCCGCGACCCCGAAGCACCACACAAGCTCCTCCGACGACACCGACGACCACCCGATCCCCCTCATCGTCTGGCACGGCCTCGGCGACTCGTACGACGGCGAGGGCATCAAGCGCCTAGGCGAAGTCGCCGAGGAGCTCAACCCGGGCACCTTCGTCTACACCATCAAAGTCGGCGCGGACCCCAACGCCGACCGCTCCGCCACCTTCTTCGGCAACGTCACCACCCAGCTCGAGGAAGTCTGCGCCGAGCTCGCCGCCCACCCGATCCTCTCCACGGCACCCGCCGTCGACGCCATCGGCTTCAGCCAGGGCGGGCAATTTCTGAGGGGCTACGTCGAGCGCTGCAACAACCCGCCCGTCCGGTCCCTCGTCACCTACGGCAGCCAGCACAACGGCATCGTCGAGTTCCGCGCCTGCGGCGACGGCGACTTCCTCTGCAAGGGCGCCATGGCCCTGCTGCGCTTCAACACCTGGTCCGGCTTCGTCCAGAACCGCCTCGTGCCGGCCCAGTACTACCGCGACCCGCAGCCGGAGCAGTACGAAAAGTACCTCGAGTCGTCCAACTTCCTGGCCGACATCAACAACGAGCGCGAGCTCAAGAACGTGCGGTACGGCAAGAACCTCGCCAGCCTGGCCAACTTTGTCATGGTCATGTTCGAGGACGACACGACCGTCATCCCCAAGGAGACGGCGTGGTTCGAGGAGGTCAACGGCACCGAGAGCCTGCCGCTGCGGGCCCGGGCGATTTACAAGGAGGACTGGATCGGCTTGAGGGAGCTGGACCGCAAGGGCGGGCTTCGCTTCCGCCAGATCCCTGGCGAGCACATGCAGATTTCTGATAAGACGCTCAACAAGACCATCCAGGAGTTCTTTGGGCCGTTTAAGAAGACGTTCGAGGCTGAGAAGACGGTCGAGGATGTTCCCGTCTTTGAGGAGTTGTAATGCGATTGGATCAGAATGCTGGGTAGTAACTTGATGAAAGCGACACAAGGGGAAAAGTGCAAAAGGGAAAAATTGTACACTAGTTCTTATTGGTAAATTTCTAAGCACGAGTTCTCATGGTTAATTTTTGTCTGAACCAACGCCGTACGCCACAAACCATGCATGGTATAATCCCGCACGTAAATACCCTTCCTCCTTTTTATTTTTTCGGTACCATCTCTACAGCCATGCCCTGGGTCTCAAACGCATCTAGTTGTCGACGGCAGCCTTGGCCTTGGCCTTTTGCTTCTTCAGCTTCTCCTTGCGCTCGGCAATCTGCTTGTTGAGGTTCTCGTCGTCGCCCTCGGGAAGAGCCTTTTGCGCCGTCTCCTTGGCCGCCTTCTTAGCCTTCTTGGGCTTGGTCGCAGTCTCGGTCTCTTCGTCGTCAGCACCAATCGACTTGCGCTTCTTGCCGACGTTGGCCTTCTCCTTCATCGCCTTGGCCTGCTCGCTGTCGTCGGCGACGATATCCTTGGCCTCGAGCCAGAGCTCGTCCGTCAGCCAGATGGGCAGGGCGGCGGTCTCCTGGCCCTTGACGTAGATGCTCTTGACGTTGGCCCACTTCTCGGGCACCCACTTGGCGATGAGGGCGTCGACGACGGCGGTGACGTTGTCGGCGACCTGCTGGGGCTTGAAGCCGGCGTAGCCTATCCGGATGGCGGTGTTGGTGGACGGGGTGAGGCTGACGAGGGCGGCGCCGACGGCCTTTTCGATCTCGACGGCGATGTCCTGCGGGGTGCCGGCGTTGACGGTGCCGGGGGTCTTGGGGGCCGCCTTTGCGCGCTTGCCGTCTGCGCCGCGCGGGGGCTTGGCGGAGATGACGACGGGGACGGGGCGCTTGGCGGTGGTCTTGTAAAAGGTCTTGCCGAGGGCCTTGGGGAGGCGGTTGACGATGCGGTCGTCTGCGAGGAAGACGTCGTGCTCGGCGAAGAGCTTGCGCTGGGCCTCGTACTGCTTGAACTTGGATTTCAGGTGGGCCACGTCGACGACGCGGGTGATGCGCTTGCGGAGGGCCTCGGGGAACTCTTCCGAGGCGACGATGTTCTTGTAGGCGCGCTGGGGGTCGGCGGTGATGAGGCATATCGTGGCGTCCTCGTCCTGGTTGAGGGGGTGCGGGAGGGTGATCTTGCCGGGCTTGAGGCGGGCGCTGTCGGCGATGTGGCGCTTGGTCGTGAGGGTGAGCCAGATGGGCTGGCTGGCGAGGTCCTCTGTCTCGTCGGCGAGGAGGTTCTTCTTGCCGGATTCCTCAGACTTTTCCTTGGCGGCCTTCTTGATGTGTGCCAGGAGAGCCTTGGAGGCCTTCAGGGTCTAAGGTTTCGCGCATCGGATTAGCGATTTGGGAGATCTTGAAGTTGGTTGCGCTATTGGCAAACGGGGGGAAAGTAGTGGTAGTTTTGTACCTGCTCGGGGTCAATTGAGGGCGTAACATCTTTCGATGCGACGGCGACGGTCTTTGAGGGAGCCATGACTGCTGGTTTGACGGGTTGGTTGAAGGCTCGTCGTGTGGTTTTTTTGGTTCTGGCAAAACTTCAATACTGCGACTACAGAAAGAGATATGGTGGGGGCGACCAGAAATCTTTGGACCGTCGTCCAGAAATTTTTTGGCCAAAAACGACAGGGATCATGTCCTGTCGGCGGATCCAGGGCGCCGGTGCCGATGGGGTCCGTGCGTCCCGTTTCGGTCTGACCTGACCGAGGTGAGTGCTCGGTGAAGGACCTTAGCTCCAACCGCACCCATCGCGCCGCCGCGATTTGCTGGGTTTCTTGGTTGCTGACCTGAGTGCACAGTTTGGCGGTCTTGTCTCGATACTGATGCATTTATTGGAATGAATGGCCTGAGATGAAGTTTTTGGCCTCGGCCTCGACGGTCAGACTCTGTTCACTGCATAAAACGGGTTGCACATGTCTCGACGCGTTGAGTGGTTGATATCGCGTCTTCAGATGCAAAGTCAGCCGAGGACAGCCGAGTTAACAGTCGACCAGCGCGTTCGGCAGCAACGTCTCAACTCTTTGCACCACAGTTGCGATTTGTGTGAGAATTGACCAACGCTTCTTCACTCCTATTACCGACGGACATGGAAATCAACTTGCCTACAAGTCTCAACACACGAGCATTGTCTCAGTCTGAAAACGGGTCCCGGCATCCAAGAGTCTCTGAGAAAGTGTGGGCAACGTGGGTTGTGGGCCGGACTGCCATTGTAAGTTGGTCGGTCACTAATATGCACATGCCAACGAGTTTTTTTTCTCAATCCAATGGAATCCGGTTGGGAACGCCGGGATCATCATTTGCCCAAGAGCCTCAGCGGGTCGTGTGAGAATGAGATGGGAGGGAGCGCGACTTGCTTTAGCGATGCGGGGTGTTCCCGTCGGGACGCGATGATTGACGGTTCGGGAAGACGTGGGTTTAACTACTTTCAAAGCACGGCTTTCTGGGTACAAGTGTCTGGCGCTTCCTAACAGCTCATTTCCACCCGTGCTAAGGGAACGGGTAGTCATATTCGCTTGGGTACGCGTTGTAAAGATATGTTGGTTTGCGTACAACAAGGCAACAAAGTGCAGGGGATTCGGAAGGTTGGAACATGGTATATAAATCAAGGGACCATAATGATGAGAGTTGAAGGGGACTCAGGTTTTCCAAGTGTGAAGGACACTTTACGCGCAGCAAACACGGTCTCGCGATGCTCGTTTCAACCCCCTTCGGATTGCATTGCATGGGCAGCCTGGAACGAGGCGATCTGGGACTGGGAGTCTGGGAGTCTGGCACCGGTTGCCCGCATCCTAGTCGACGGGGCGGGTCAAGACTCAAAAGTCTCACCAGACGGGCGGACCTTTGGCGCATCTATGATGCTTGTGGCAGCAAAGGGAAGGCGGATATAGCCACAGGAAGAGAGAAATGACCGTGCTCGGAACCAATGAATTCAGAGGAGGGTTTTAGACGAGAACCGGTCCAGTGCGATATCGCGATTTAGGGTGTATGAGTCTCGGCTGTGAAGCACAGGGATGGACGAAGGACTGGGGGGAACAGCGCACAGTGATGGAATGCATGGCTTTCTTGGAGACTTGGAGAAGGCTCTGAGAGAAACCTCCGCTAGCTATGCAACGTACTAGTAATGTAAATTGCAAGCCTCTTGATCTTGTCTTGGACACGCCATGCTGAGGGAGATACTTTACTTCAGTCAGTTTACCTTACCTTCCTGGTTAGCATAGATCACTTCGGCCAGGCTTGAGATGCGCCGGGGTTCGAATGGGCCAGACGGTTGGACAGAGTGGACTCTCATCCACCGGTGGTGGCCTTGGGCGGCTAATGAGTATGTTCTTCAGCGCTCTTCGCCGTTGGATAGGATGGCCCCCGTAATGTCAAAGTAAGGTACCTTAGCTCATCCGTCAACAGCTGGGAAGAAGGATGAAATGCTGACCATCGGCAATGATCGAAAGCGTGTGTGCGTGTGTGGTGGTGTAAGAGAGACGCGCACTGGAAGTGGGCCACTATTGGTTTTTTTTTCTTGCAGTCTCTTACTCGTCTCTCACCCAAGAAAGCGTGCATGGTGGGGACTTGGAGACTCGGACGTGATTTCGGGGAGGCTGGATCGGATCTTGATGAGGGGCATAACGGTCATTGTGAGGCCTAATGACTGCAAGTTTTGCACACAAGAGGCTGGAAGAGAAATGGCGGTCTACGGGTAGAGAAGTCATGAGCCCAAAGGCTCAGAATGAGTATGGGAGTGAGAGTAAGAGTTGGTGATGAAGACGTAAAGACTGGTGAGGTGAACACAGCTACAGATACTCCTTGGGGAAGCAATTAAACTCCACGGTTAGCGGGTGACCGCCGCAACAAGCTCAGACAACGGCCCGCGTCCAGCGACCATGGCCTGGAAACACGGTCATCTTTAGCGCATCTACCCGCTGTGGCCATCCATCGTCCCGTGAAGGTGCCTATAAACCCGTCTACCGTCAGCGGGCACGCGACTCTCGCTCCCCACTCTACGTACCTAAAGTACCTAAAAGCACAATGTGAGGTGCCTGCACAGCACAATTCGGCGCGCGCCCACCAACACGCGGGAAAGACGTGGACGCGCGAGAGACACGCTTCCCGTTTTTTGGGCAAGGGCCCCCCTCAAAAAGGTCCAGGGCCGCACCACCGGGCCTCCTTCCATCAGACCTGCAACCACTTTGACAGTTTTCACTCTTCCAAAGCCTTCTCTCTCTTTTTTTGTTCACGTGTGGCCAGGCTTGGATCCTAGAGACCTCCTTCGAGATATTCAACTCTGTTGAAGACCTTATCCTCTCTACCTCTCTCTCTCCTTTCCACGGATATATCCCTCGAGATCCTGACTCTTGTACATCTCACCCCTGCCGGAAGAGCGAGAGCCACTTACACGCTTACCCGCACAACGCCAATATCCCACGTCCGATAGTCGAAGCGACACCCGCGCCGAGCATAACGCGCCCACCTCCCAACGACGTGCAAGGAACACGAATTCGAGGAATTACAAGAGGGAACACTGCACAAGGAACAAACACGCCCTTCTATAATCCTCAGACCGGCACTCTCACTCTCCTAGTCTGGGCATGCTGTCGTCGCCATAATGCTCGACTCGTCGCCCCAATCAAAGACCCAGGAGCCTACGCTTCCTCTGGCCGGCACCAAACGTCCTGCCCCGAGCCTTCTCCCGGCATTCGAACCTCTCTCTTCCTCCCCGGGCTTCCCTAGACCCTCCAAACGACAAGCCCGTCCCGGTTCTGTGGGAGCAAGCAACGCGTATCTGAAATATCCCACCCCGATCCCGACCTCGAGCACCGGCATCCTATCCTCCTCTCCGCCCCGCGTACACTCAAGACCGGGTGGTCTGTCTCGAGCACTCTCTACCGCCTCTGAGCGCACTCCCCTCGGTGCTGTCAGCTCCATTGAACTGAACGAGAATGGCGAAACTCTCCTCATGGGCCGCTCTAGCAACTCGTCCCACTACCAGCTGTCCGCAAACCGCCTCGTGTCCCGCATCCACGTAAAGGCCCGCTACGTGCCTGCTCCCTCCGCTCTGGAGCCCAACAAGATTGAAATCATCTGCAATGGCTGGAACGGGTTGAAGCTTCACTGCCAGGGTCGCACGTGGGAGCTTCTCAAGGGCGACTCCTTCACGTCTGAAACAGAAGGGACCGAAATCATGATTGACGTTCAGGACGCCCGCGTCATGATCCAATGGCCGAAGCGGGACCGTCGCGACCGCCTCGCGAGCCCCGATGATTCTGCTTGGGGTGACTCGCCTCCTCGCTCTGCTGCCCGCGTTGCCGCCGACCTTTTGCAGTCGAGTCCCCTGCGCCGGCCCTCGCGCATCGAGTCCCCAGACTCACCAACGGCGCATCTCAGCAGCTCGCAGCGCCTTCAAGCTCTGTTGCCCAGGGAAGATGGGGAAGTGCAAATCTATGAGGACTCGAGTGCAGACGAGCCCGAGCTTCCCAAGCTGGTTGACTCGGGCACAATCATTGGTCAGAGCTTCGCTACCGAGGCCACCAACTCCTTCTCGTCCGAACTCAGTGAGCCGGAAGACGAGAACGTGAATGACCCTGACGAGGAGAATGACCCCATTGTTCACTCTTTTGGACCCTTTGGGGCAGATATCTCCAATCGTCTCGCCTCTATCACTACCGCGTCTCCCAAATTCCCTCCTTTCAAGCGGGCAGCCTTGCCCACAGTCAGCGACGAGTCTAGACCCTCCAGCCCCATCTCCGCGCCGCCAAAGTCGCCAGACGAAGCAGAAGAAGGCGAGGTGCTAGAAGACGAGGAGGAAGTCAAGGAAGCGGAGCCCCCCTACGAGAATCCTACCGTTTGCAACCACGTCGTCAACCAGCTGGCCTTTTCGCGTCTGTCGTCCAACCCCCTGTCGACCATCATGAACAACCTGCCGTCGGAAGAGCGCAAAGGGTTGACCAAAGATCAGCTTCGAAGTCTGATCGAGGCAACGGCATGCATTGGCATCATCCAACGCCAGGGCAAGGACGCTGCTGGCAAGCAGCTCGAGAGCGAGTACTACTACGTTCCCGAGTTCGACGACGACGACCAGCGCCGCCTTGCCGTGACGGATGGTCTGCGCAAGCCCAGCCTGCGCGCGTGTCGCAAGCAGCACAAGGTAAGATTACTAAAGCCAAGAAGTGAAGAGGTTGAAATTAACATGTTGGGTTTAGCAATACTACTGGAAGCGCCCCCGTACACCTTGAACCTTGTTCCAGCTATCGCTTTTCATCCCATGTTTTTTTCGGGGTCTCAACGCCCTTTTTGCCTTGCTGAGGCTGAACTGATGGCGTGCATTCACCGAGCATGGCCTCTCACTTCTCTCCTCTTGCACAACACCCTTTTTACTGTCTATACCTTGGCTCTCAAAAGCCACCATTGGGCAAAACCAACTCGTGTGTACTGGTTGCATAGCGCAAGGCGTTTTTTTCTGTTTCAACGTATTATTACTGTACGATTCCACTACTACTACTATATCTCCGGAGAAGGGCGGCCTCCTTATTTTTACCCCAAAGATTCCCCCAAAGGCACGCGAAACAAAATCACCGTAACACGCCCGCGCCTACAACCCCGACACCGACCCCGTTAGATGAGATACATGCGGCATCCAGGTTACATACGATTTGGAAGCGAGGAGTGTGTGTCTCTTGATTTTTGATGGATTTTTCTCGTCTCGCCTGTTTCGTCTTTTGAACTTGATTTTTTGCAAGGGTTACACGAAGAAGGATGGGATATGAATTGGGACTGGCGGGCGGTCGGTCACGGAAATGGGAAATGATGATGGGTGGGACGAATGGGATGGGATGGTGTTGGATGGACAGGAGGCGGGGGTTAGAAAAAGTTGAAGTATTATCTTCAATCAGAGGTCTGGCGAATAAAAATCACGTTTGTTCTAATGAGGCTGCCTGGGATCTTGAGTGACTTGGCGTCCGATGAGGCTTTCCTTTGACAGGATACTGGTGAACCAGCTGAGATGCAATGGGGTCCACGCCGTCACGCGCTCATCCCTGCCGCGTCTAGCTCGTGCTGTAAAAACACAACTCACTCCATACTTCGGCTCCGGATAGGTACGTGGGCCAACTATGCCACTCTTTCTCTCATGCGATTCTAAGAATACTTATCTCTGTTACTGAGCTCACCGAAGAGGCATTCAGCAAGGTCCGAATTGCAATTCTGTCATCATACCTTACTGTTATCGAACAACGGCTCAAATTAGGTAAGGTATGTTAAGACGAAAGGAAGCCGGAATCTGCAGCGTGATGTCGTTCGTTGCTCGCGCGGTGATCCCGGAGCTTGTGTGGGGCCGACTAACTTCGATGCACGGACCCTCTTTGACTGATAACGTCCGATAAGCCTAATTTAGTATGGGCCTGGGCCCCCCCGAACCTACCCCGCAATGACGGCGGTGGTTGCTCTTGTTTCTCTGGGGTGTAAGGTGGATTTATGGTGGTGTGAATGTCTCTTTGCACGCACGCTCTCGGATTGCCTGAATGGACTGACTGGATGTTGATCTAGATTCCTTCGATGGCTCAGTGAACAGACCGTGGGTAAGGTGATGGTTTTGTGTTGTCAGAGTGTGAATAGGCAGCGCATAGGTCTCTACCGTACCGTAGGATTCGGTGCCGATTAGACTGAGGCAATACCTAGTCGAAGCCATCCACGTAATAAGGCGTATGGAGGTGCATCATCCTGAGCATCCTCGCCTTGTGTGCTGATCTGAGAGTGGAAGGGGGGTGATGGTCGAAAGACAAATGCTCGAAGACCGTTTTATGACGACAGGGGTTTGTGGTGTGAAGAGAGGTGCCGATTACATACGGGAGTACGATCCCACAGATGTTCAGTGGCGATATGTTCTGGCGGTAGGTAGCTAGCTAGCTAGCCCATCCTACCTACTTCACCGCCAACGGAAGGTAACGAAAAGAGGCAGAGGAGCTACCGGGTATGATGTTGTGCGTTCAGCCTCTGCTGGGGCTAATCGTCGTCTGATACAGGAAGATTTCTCAATCACCACACCTCTCGAGGCTAGTGTCCATGCATCCATGCATATTTTGGCGTCTGCTTGTTGTTAGACGAATGTTTTGACGGGGCCTTTCAGAGCTGAGGGGGGTTCGTCATCTCTGCGTTAGACAGGCGTAGGTATCATCAAAACGCGGGAGCACGGCAGGTAGATAGGTAGGTAAAGAAGGCAAGGTAGTTTCTCGAGAATCGTTTTCCTGCAGCGACGATCGCCGAGAAGGAAGGCGAAGAGGAGGAGTGAGGCAAAAAAAAAGGTTAAACACATCCGGAAAGAGGGTGGTGGTGTGGTGGTGGTGTGCGTGTAACGCCAAATCTCAAAGGCGCATTGGACCCTGAAAGTGGTAAAGGAAAGAACGTATGGTAAAGGAGGAGGTAACATGGGAAGTTTAAAAGAATCTCATTCCTCCTCTTCAACTTCCCCACTCTCTCCTCTCGTGATGCTCATCTCGGTCTCGTTGCCCTGCACCCCGTCGCCGTGTAATCAAACCTTCTACATTCCAACGACTCCGAATATAAAACACCCTATGCTTTCCGCCTCACCTACATCACCAAACCAAACAAAACCTCAAATCACACAAAACATCAACCTTTCCAACATCCACATAAACCCCCCACAAACCCCCAAGCCTCAAGAGACCTTGTAAACCAGCCAAACTTTCCAACAGCTCTCAAAATGGCATCCGAACAAACGGCCCAACCCGACATCTCAAACTACACCACCTCCCCAACCACCTCCTCCAACAAGCAATCCTCCCCCTCAGCCACAACCCCGCGCGCCATCGTCGAGTCCACGACAAACAGCTGGAAACCCTCCTTCGAGCGCCGCCAGAGCTGGAATCAGGAGGACCAGAAGCGCGCGCTGCAGATGAGTCACATTGAGGACGTGAAGACTGGTCCTGGGTTCACTGAGCGTTCGTAAAGGGGGGAAACGACAAAACAATGAGGGAAAAGCTGTGCAAAACACAGATGTGAAATTTAGAATTGGCAACATGCTGCGGTTAATGACAATGGATGGGCGATGGTGGTGTTGAGAGGGAATGGTGTGTTGATGAAGACGAGATTTCCTTGAAGCGATCCCCATGAAGATTGGTGCGGAGGAGGGCATGGATGAAGTCGCCGTCGAATGGCTAGGAAGGCATGGCGTTTAAAAAATTGTTTTACTAGGTTGTATCATCAAATACGCATCATCCCATATGGCTCCGATGTCACCTTTTTGTTTGCAAGTGCCGCTTGTGAAAGAGAATCAACAAGTCACTCAAATTGCGTCAATCGCAGCAGCCTGAGACGAAAGTGAGAAGTGACTGTTGCATCATTGGGCATGCTACTGATACAATGGAGAGTTTGCCTGGCTCAAATGGCAGCCGAATCCTACAACCGGAAAAGGTATATAATCCATCCCAACGAAATCCCAAATCAATATCCGCAGAACCCTTCCTCACGACGTCTGCCTACAAACCCTTAGGCCCCTGACCATCCTTGCCTCCAGTCTTGAAATACTCCCCAACGACACCGATCGCGTAAGAAATCCCACCGACCCATACGGCGCCAAGAACAACCTTCTTGGCCCTGCTCCTCTTCGGCCGCTTTGGAGGCTCGAAGTCTTGGCTGTCACAGGATATCGTGTTGCGCCTCCTCAGCGGGCTGAAAGGAGGCGGGGGTTTCTCTGCTGTCTCCGCTCCGGGGTAATCATAGTTGAGGTAGCCTGTAGGACTGGAAGAGTAAGCGCTTGGTACTACGGGGTCGCTCCCCATCATGTCGATGGGGTTCACCTTTGGCGCCTGGTATGTTGTCGGCTTCTCGATCGCAGGGGCGAAGGAGACAGCAGTCTGCTCCTTGGATGCCGTCTCTGCCTCGCGGACCTTGCGGAATACCAGGACGTCTCCGCTTCCGGAAACAATCTCATATCCCTCCTTTTGCAGAGTGCTAAAGTAGGGGAAGAACTTGGTTGGGTTCGACAACCGAAGAATAACCTCCGCTGGCGTCAGCGGTGTTGCGCTGTCGGGCACGACCGACGTGGTCTCGGCTGTGTTGATGGCCTGCATCGTCGGGTCGTAGGCAAGAATCTTGTAAATGGTAGGCTCCCGGGGTGCCTCGGCTGCGGTCGAAGGTACCACACCCTGGCTCTTGGCAGCGGAAACCGCTTCCTGTGCGGTTGAAGAGGCATTGGTCATGGCGTCCGTCACGGTTCCATATGTGCGGACGTAGGATGGCCAGGTCTGCTTGCCACCGCACTCCTCGGAGTAGCTCACCTCAAGGCCCTGAGGCTCTTTTGAATACTGGTCAATTTGACCTCTCTTTCCCGCAATGCGAGTAGTCCTAAAGGAAGACGACCGGTCCAGGGATGGCTCCAACTTGTTTTCCAGACTCGGAAAACTCTCATCAAAGGACGCAGCCTCAACCTCGTCTTGGTCTTTGCTTTCCTCAACCTTTTGACTATCCGTGGCAGCCGCAACAATGTCGTTCCAGTTCCGCGAAAAGTCTTCGGGGAAGTCCCTGACATAGTTGCCAGTAAGGTTTTCCTTCTTGGAGGGAATATGGTCCCACGCCTTGTTTCTAGACTGGCGCACTGCAATACGGGCAGCTTTGCTCGAGATATCCCAGTTCACGGCATATCGGGGAAGATCGGCTTCGAGAATCTGTCTGTTCGTTGTGCTGTACTCTCTCCGGGACTGGCCCGAGGACGTCGGGATTTTGGCCCGAACATCGCTGGCTCGGAGCAAGTCCAAATCGTCAGCTCTCTCCTTCTCTGACGCCTGAGCAAAAGACTTGCGTCTGTTTGCCTTCGCAGCGATCTCCGCATCGAAGTCACCCAACCCCTTGGAAACAGGGTCAACAACGGCGGCAGGTTGGCCATCGGGCTCATTGTAGCGGAAAGATTCATACTGTTTGGCCTCGTCGAAAGCTTTCTGATCCCAGTCATTTTTAGGGCGCTGGCTTTCGGGCTCGTTGTATTGCACAGGCTGGTGCTTGGCCGCCTCTTCAGGCTCAACCGCAGCAATAACACCCTCTGGTGGCGGTGCATCACCGCGTTTGAACTCCTCGGAGTATTTTCCAAGATCCTTATACTGCTTTGAGGCTTCCTCTGGGTGCATTGGTGGTTTGCCGTGCGGCTCATTCCAGCCGACGGGGTTGTAGGCATCGAGGTCTGCGTATGCCTTGGATGCCTCCTCTGGGTGCATGGGAGCTTGTCCGTGAGGTTCGTTGTACGACATGGGGCCATATTGGTCCAAATCAGTGTAAGCTTTGGAGGCTTCCTCGGGATGCACGGGGCGCAGACCCGAGGGCTCGTTGAAAGAATGCGGGCGATACTTGTGAAGGTCGTCGTAGTCTTTTGATTTCTCCTCGTCGGAACGGGGGCGTAATCCCTCAGGTTCGTTGAAACTGCTGGGTCCATACTTGTGGAGGTCGTCATATGACTGCGTCTCCTCCAAGACGTCCTTTTCGTTATGCATGATTGGGCCGTACTTGTGGAGGTCGTCGTAGGGCTGCTTCTCCTCCACCACATCCTTCTCATTATGCATGATGGGGCCATACTTGTGCAAATCCGAATATCGCTCGTACGGCTCCGGCACTTCGGCATTCTCATTGTGCATCACCGGACGGTACTTGTCCAGGTCCTCGTATGCAGGCTGGGAGAGCTCCTCGGGAGGGCGGTCGTTCAGTGTCGGGTTGGCATACTTGCCGAGGTCCTCATACTTAGGCGTAGCGTCTACTTCTTCCAAGAAATCTTTGAGGCCTACCGGTGTGTATTTGCCCAAGTCGTCGTATTTCGGCTCCTCGGAAAGTTGCTTAGCATCAAGCTTCTCATCCATGACCGGCTTGTACTTGTCGAGATCCGCATATTGCGGGGTCTCCACAACTCCACTACTGGACCCAGCTTCGGCCCATGGGGCACTGTCAATGGCGACATTGCCATACTCTTTGAGCTCGTCGGCGGGGGGGACCCCGTCTGGGAAAAAGGGCTCTTGAGTATTTTTGTCCGAAGAGTTATCAAACACCGACTGGGGCGCGTGTGAGGAGTGCATTCTTCGGTTCGTAATCGGGTCGATGTCGGGCGAAACGTCGCGACCGGCAGCAGCCGTATACTTGCTCCTGGTCTGGCTACCGAGATAGTTGCGAATGTTTTGCAGAGGAGACTGCCACAGGTCATATTCCAACGGATTAGCGCGCTTGCCGGAGAAGAGAGCATTGATTGCACTGCGCTCGACATCCTCAATGTTCTGGCCGGGTCGGGTGCCTGGGGTTTCGCCCGATCCACCCTTCTTCACGTCTTCCTCTCTCACGTATCTGCCACCAGAGCGGGTATGACCTTGTCTGATCCAGCACTGAGCCAACATCTTCTTCATCACGATTCTCGAGTCTTGGGCACGCGAGTTTAGGTCCCAGGACAGCTTGCGATTGATCGATTCCATGTATTTGTATTTGATGTGGCGCTGACGAAGACGCAGCTGACGCTGGACCTCGGGATCCAAGTAGGATGACCACGCACCGAAGCGGAAGCCGCGAGTCTGGCCATAGTGGCTTGCCCTCACGGGCGTCTGGTTCGAGGATACCAGTGATCCCACGGTGGAGGCTCTCCCGGGGTAGAGACCGCCCGCCCGAGGCGAGGAGCGAGAAACGGTGGCGAGCATGACGATGGATTTTAGCTTTGTGCCTTTACCATGGTCCCGAGACTAATTCCATGCAGGAGTCAGCGGAAAATGAATCCAGCGAGCGCGGTCGCGTCGTGCTTTCTCGAGGGCAGAGAGTGGCCGGCCAAATGCGGCCAGCGAGTATTTGGACTCGAGCGCACGTGAATAAACCGGAACGACTTACACGAGGGAGAAGTGAGGGGGGAAGCTGCTCGTATCACGACCCGCATGTAGGCTGTACGTCGCAATGTTGCTTGAAACGAAGAGTTGAAAAGGTAAGAATTGAGAATCAATCCGCCACCTCGGCGATGTTAAGAGAGAGGCGAGCAAGGTTAGAAGGAAAGAGGTAGCGAGAGTTCAAGAGGTATTGACGGGCCAGAGGGAGCACCTCAGCAAGCAAGCGGCAATCACTGGCCGGGTTGGGACACTGGTAGGTCGCAATGGGAGAGGTGGGATCCACAGTTACCGCTCCCTAGCGCTGCTCCCGCAGTGAGCCGAGTGGGCACCGTGGGCTGAGGGCCACTGAGGTGCACGCCCAGGTGGAGAGCCTTCAGCAGGGCAGTTTGCGGGGTAAGCCTTTGCGGACAGTGGCCCTCTTGCCCGAGGAACGCTTGAAACCGCCGAACGACCCCGAATTGGGGCAACTGGCCAGTGACGCAGTTGCAGAGGTGCGCCAGTGGCTGGAAAGTGGAGCACCATGTCTTACCACTTTGGAGCTGTGATAAATGCGGCCCAATCGACGCGAATGGATAAGAAGTGGGCGATAAGAATGCAAGTGTGCACGGGTGAAGCCAGGAAGCGAGTGAATCACGTGTATAATGCTGACCTAAGACAAGCTGTCTGTAAGTACCTAGAGACACGCTTACCTAAGACAGAGAAAAAGGCTTGGACCAGGTACCGATGACAGCATCATCAGAGGCAGCTTTGGCGGGGCATCTCGTCCGTTTTCATTCGCCGCTGTTGCACATTGGCCGGGGCTCAAATTGTTCACTCGGCCTGAGTCAACTCGGTGCTGCTAGGTACCTACGTAGTAGAGGCATTTGCGGCGCAACATTCTTCGATTGCGACCCAAACTTTTTCTTCGGATTCGACTTCGTTTGGTCATCATTTTGCATTCACTATCTTACCTTGGGGGACGATTCAGTCGGAGAAAGCCTTTCTTTTTCTAATAGACTTTTGCATACCCATCTCCGCCATCAGTCCCTCTCGCTCATCTATCTCCGATATTTCGAACAAGGAAATTAAGGTGGTGCCCTGCCCGCCGCATTTCGCATTTCGCATTTCGCATTTGGCATTTGTGCACCTCCGTTGTAATTACCCCGCCAACGTCATATTCGAGCTCTCCAGCTGCCTTCTTGCGCCGCGCGAACTCGTGCATCTGAGCTACACCGATATCCCAACAGCAGTATTTCAACACTACCTTCATTCACACTAGATCATGTCGCGTGCTTTTGGTAAAGGCGGCCGATCATCCGGCGCTGCGAGGGGCTTCGGCAGTCCAGCGCCTGCTGGCTTCGGTGGCTTCTCTTCTGCCGGCGGTAGTGGCCTATCTTACCTCTCTGAGCCTCCCAA